CATGCTATTTAAAATTTAATGAAACATTCATATTTTTACTAAGGAGTCAGATATAAAATTTCTTAAAATAAATTGAAGGTTTTCAAAAATTCGTATGAAAATTTTTTCCGTTAAATCGATATTTAATACAAGCTTTTTCCTACCATATTTCCTGAATTTAGTTCAATAATTTTTCGATATCGTTGTATCTGCTAGTTAGTTGATTAAGAACTTTTTTTAAAGCAAAAAAAAATTTTATGGTATGTAGTCTTCGCTATTTTTTTTAATTCGTTTGCTTTTTCATAAATAGATGGCTGCACAATCTGATATTTATGGCACTTGAAATAATTTGAATTTTTTTAGAATTGTAAATATATAGGGGTGTTCAGGCAATAGCAAAATATTGCATCGATCTACGCTTTTGAGAATAAAAATCAAAATTCAAAAAAAAAAAAATCATGGTGCGTCATCTGTTAATTTGTTAACTATTAGCTGATTTGTGTAAAGTTAAATAAATGTATTATTCACTGTTTTATTATTTTTATTTTCACATAAACTGAAGGCAACAAAATATGAAATAATTTGAAACATGATTTTAAGAATTTTTAGACATGAAAACACATTGTGAAAAAATTATAGTTTAAATCAGCCAAAACATAGTAAAATTTATCATGTTTATTGCCATCGGAACACCAACAAGATCTGTAATTTTTACTGAAGATATTTGGTAATGATTTTGGCAAAATTAGCTTTAAAATATTATTTTCTTACATATGAAAAAACTTGGTAAATGTGGTAAGATTTCGCAATTTTATCATGAAAGCATGGAGCGCAGGCATAAAAACCATTTATACGTTAAAATTTATTTTTCAATTTCGTATGTTTTAATAAATGTGTGGTATTAAGAAAACCAGAATTTCCATTAAACCAATTACCTAGTTTAAATACCATACAGTTTGGTTTTATTAACCAACATTAATGTTTTTTTTGTTGCCAGAAATGTAATGATATGTTATAGATCACAATGTAATTTTAACCAATTTTTTTCACGGCTCAGATAGTATTTTATGGAAATAGAGTAGAATATTACGTCTCTTTTATGTTAAAAGATAAATTACGTTAAGAAGAAAAACGCTCTTTTCAAGTCATATTTTCCTATTACCATTCTCAAAGATAACTAAATACAGTTTTAATCTTAAAGGACTGTCCATGAATGATATCTTTCTTTTTTTTAATTTTTTTTTTCAATTTTTTCTTCCTTTACCTTTTAATAAAGCATACTTTTTTACCCCCTTTATATTAGCACACTCCCCTATATCACTATTACCAAAACATCCATTTGAATTTGAGAAGCATGATATGCTATAGATAAATATTTTAATTTCTTTTTTATCTATACTATCGAAAAAATAAATTTATTTTAAAAATATCTTCAATCATACTCGAAAGAAAAAAGCTTTTTAATATTTTTGAAATAAACATAAGGCAAAAAAAATTTAAATAATTAATATAAAATTATTTAATTTTTAATTTCGTTATTATTACTTTAATTAAAACGTGTGATGTCACATATGTTTGTTATCCATAGCTGCTTGCAACAAGCTGGCGCAATATTACGACCAACCTTAAAGTGTGGTATAATTTATTCATGTTATATATTGTTGTCATAGTCAATGTATAGTCAATCTATGTTATATAATAGTAATAGTTCATCTTATATAATGTTAGTCATAGTTATGTAGTCAATGTTATAAAATCTCATAAGAATATAGTTAACAACTCTTAACTTTCTTAATCATTCAATAAAACTCAATTCATCAACAGTACTTGAAAAAAGTTCTTTCTAAATTAAATATAAAAACAATATAAGTTCATGTAAATATGCAGTGTTTCTTTGAAAGAGTTTCTCGATAAGAAGCTAATAGGGCCCACTCTAAATACTTTTGACTTTTGAAATTTAAATAATCGTTTAACTACAACTTTTCGAACAATATAGTATCCACGTAATGTTGTAATTCTTTTATCAATATTTTAATTTATTCTATAAAAAAAGTACAACAGAAAAATTTAAAAGCTTAAAAAATGTAATATTCAAATCATGAGTTTCAGAAATTTGGACAACATTCTTATAAGATCTGATTTCACTAATTTGCTTATTTAAACTGATCTGACAGTGTAGTTATCGATCTGACAGTTTCACCGATCTGGCACTGCAGGCTATAACAGTTCTGTCTATGCAATCGAATTTTCATTTCGATGATTCTTATTTAATAGGCATTTTCATTTTGATAAAAAATTTACAAAAAATACTTTAGGCCTAAGTGTTATAAATTATTTTGCATTACAACTAAAATATAGTTTTCAAAAGACAATATCGATTGTTATAAAAAAGAGAGAGAAAGTTAAGTACTCCACTCTTCTTTCTAAGTGTAAAAATGGTTGATTTTTTTAACTCTTTAAGAACGGCAACTTCTGCTATCACTTTAACATTTTTGAGAGCGCAATACACCTTCTCCATGCCGTGAATCTCTCCTAGATGGTGAACTAAACGGGATTGATAAAAAAAAGAGAACTAAAATTTTTTAATCAAACAATTTATTCACTTTCTTCAAATTATACAAAAAAAAGGTTTCAGTACAAAATAGGAAATGAAAAACAAATCTTACTAAATGGACGTTAAATATTACAAAATTGTGGCACTAAATACAAAACAAATCCTTTATGTTGCATTATATTGGGGGTGGTAGATAAGATAGATAAGTCGATCAAGCGTTCAAAATTAGACAACATTTTTTACTAGCAATGTTTGTCATTTTGAGTCGTAATTTGAGTAATAAAATCTATTTTCGATTTTCAGAATGAAACCACACACTTAGAGTCATTAGTCTATGACTCTCTCAGCTCCATGGCTCGTGCTATCCCCACCTCCAAGTATATGAACCAAAAGGAGATACTTCGAAAAATGGAAATACTGCGTAAAATGACACTAATAAAAATAGTAGAAACCCACGAAAAGTACAGCACATGTAATCAATAAAATACGATGGTAAAAAAAGGAATGTAAAAATAGAAAAATAACAGTACTAAATAGCATAAAAATGTCGTATATTTTAATATACATTCTGAAAGTAGCCTTTTCATTTATGTTTCAGCAATTTACGTTCATTAATATTTTTTTGCGGGCATTCTTTTTTTCCAAAACTTTCCTCGATTACGAACTAACAAAACAGACCTCTGAAGTGCCAATTCAGTAAAAAGTTAAAATTTTTTACACAATAAGAGATAAGAATTTAAAAAAAAATGTCGGCAAGTAGTTAATAAAGTTTTATTTTACTTTGAATTGCTTCTTTTTTTTACTTAGAAAAAAATTTGAATTTTTACTCCAAGGCAGAAAAACTACAGAGTGAAAAAATTGCCATAATTTAAAAATAGTTCTTATACAGGTGCTTTCCAGTAAATGTTATGTTAGAACTCATTATAAATTTTTTGAAACGCGTGAAATTCCAAAAACAAAATTGTAAAAACTTTTTTCTAAGCTTTATATTAACTTATAATATTCAAATGTAAAAAACATAAAATGATTTTTAATTAAAAAAAAAATCAAATCATCTTTTAATTAATTTCATAGCATTTTGTGAGACACATACATCAACATATATGGCAACGTTACTTTTAAAAAGTAACGAGTAAAAGTACAAGTATTTTTAAAAAAAGTATCGAGTAAAAAGNAATTTAATACTTTTTAATGTATAATACAGAATTATTTATAATTCAATTTAAACCACAAGGCAAAATTATGTATTAAATTTAAATTTGTATTTCAATATTAACTAATTATAATGTATGTGATAAAAATTGAATGCATTTATACTTTATTGATGTAAAAATATTTTCAGCTCTTCATGCCTAAAGTCAACACGAAATAAAAAATAGCAATACAAAGAAGATAAGAAAGATATTTACAAATGCATAAAATGATATTAGTATTGAAAAATAAGGTTTTTTTAATGACTGCGAAATTAGCAGCTAAAAATTTATTTAGCGTGCAAACATAAACATAAAAAATTGTTTCAATGTCTTTTTTTCATAAAAAAGTAGTTTAGTATAAAACATTACAATCTAAAAATTAAAAAAATTATTTAATTATAACATAATTACTATATACTACATAAAACAACACATTACAAAACACCATAAGAGTAACCAAATCATAAGCTGCAGCTAAAACTTGTAAAAATATTCAACAAAACAAACACCCAAAAACGGACATTAAATTTATATTTTCAACTAGAAATAAAACGAAATGGGAAAACGGTAAATATAACATTCTTTCATAATCTTGAAAGATTAAGCATATTTCATTTTCATATATCTTGTTGAATTAAAATACAACATATGAAACAGTAATATTTTAACATAAAGGTAAAATATGTATTATCTACAGGTAAGAACATATCACAATTTAAACAGAATTATGGTATAAAATTTAATTTTCTTTTTTTTTATTTAATACACTGAGAGTCTCTTGAAAAAAAATATAGCTTTAATTAAATATTTATGTCTTAAAATTATAATATCGATATACATAACATATAAATAGGCACTCTATGAAAATACTTAAAACTGTATTAAAAGATGAATAAAGTTTAAAGTGGCCAAGATTGAATTCCTGATTTTATAATTATTAGAAAAATAAGAATATAGTTCTAATTATTTTCAGGGTCATTTATGAACGAATACATTTTTTATGAATATTTAAAACTCTGTATTTGAATGTAAGTCTGTAATGTAAGAATGTTTTTATTATAAATATATATTAAAAAATATAGTTTCGTGGTAAACTAGTCTATGGGTAACTTTTGGAAATAAATTATGACTATTTTAATGCTTAATATATATGTATGGCACATAAATACTGAGATATTTCCAAAATGCATATTTTAAATTTTTCAAAAAAAATAATTAAAAATAAAATTATAGCTTTGCACTATTTAAATTTGGTTTAAAATGCAAGTTAAAGAAACATCTTATAAAAGTTCTTTTCTGTTTGCTCAATAAGTCAATTATAAAATTTTCAACTATGAAAATTTATAATACACAAAACATCTTTTGTTACTCTTATTTGTAGAGGTAATTCACAAATTCAATTAATTGTGTATATAAATATTTTGTAAACTTTTTTTTAAAATTATTGCTTTAAATTAAAGTTTATCCATTTTCATATTTAATTTATTAAATTGTAATGACAAGTATACGATAAAGCCAGCACTTTTTTAAAGCTTTGAGTATTAATTTTTCTTTTAGAATGAATTGAACATTATTTACTGTTATTCATAAGAGGGTAAATATTTTACAAATTTTTAATCCTGAATTGAGGTAATTATGAAATAAAGTTAAAACTCGCTTTCTTGAGAGGAATAAGACTGATTTCTTCTTATGGTTCTTTGCTTTGGACAATCTTCAGTGTCATGCATATTATAAATATCGCAAATATCACAAAACACTTGAGAGCTAGACCGGGTAGGTATACCTCTAAAAAGAAAAGAATATTAAAAATATTAATCTATTATATATATCAACTTGCAAAATCCTAAATTATAAATTTAAATGTTTAGTATTTAATTTAAATTATGATGAAATGGAATTGAAATAAAATTTGCTTTTAACAGAATTTTTAAAGCAGAATGTATATGAAAACTGAAATAGTAAAAACTTTAAAAAAAATTTTGAAATAAATCTTTCAGCAACAGACGTTTCTATTTTTAATATAGTCATAGTTAAAGATTTTTTAAGCATAAAGGATAAGAATTTTTATTTGCAATTAATGGTTTCAAGGACTTATTTAAAACAAAATTTAAAAACTACCAAAATACTGCAAAATTTGGTAGTTACAAACAGTTTCAACTAAAACGATGATAATTGTAACAGCATGGTACAATTTAAAATGATGCAAAAATGTTCAGTTTGTTAGAAAACACTTTTCAACTTTGAATTTCGTCGGAAAGTTGTTTCTATTTCTAAGTAAGCTATAGGCGAACATCTACCAACTAAAAAATCAGTATTTGCAAATACACAAATGCATGGACTAGGCTAAACTCAATCAGCAGCTCAGCTGTTACGCATCAGGGCATGTCCTAACATTCTAAAGTACAAGCATAGAGGTTGTGGGTTCAAATCCCACTGCAACCTTGGCAGTATCCAACTATTGATACTTATTTATTGTCACACATAAGGCTTGTATGTTCATTACAAAATTCAACTTATCAACCCTTGTCAAGTCAATACAGATAGCACACGATAGAGAGAGGCGTTACAAACTTATATCCTGAGGCGCGTTGGGGTTCGAACTCGCTACCTCTACAATAGATGCATCTTTGTTATGTTTCTAACTTTTAATATCTGTTCTTCAACTTCAAAAGCTTACTTTACAATGATAAATCGGACTCGTATATGTATGTGTAACAAGAAATAAAAAAAATACTTGAAATAGTTATGTTTATTTATTTTATCATTCGTTTTAAGAAAGCCTCCCTGAATCAGCAGTCTCGCTTTTCCGCCAAACGTTATGTTATTGTTGTAGTTCATTTACGTCACACTAGAGCTGCACAATGGGCTGTTGGCGACGGCCTGGGAAACATCCCTGAGAATGATCCGAAGACATGCCATCTCAATTTCGATTCTCTGCAGAGGGAATGGCTCTCCTGCTTTGGTAACCCGACGACCTGCACGAGAAGTCGAGCGGTAGAACAGTTTAACGAGGACCAATACCGCACACCCTTGGTCCCTACGTAGACTGATCCAAGTGGTCACCCACCCGCACACTGACTGCATCCAGTGATGCTTGACTTCGGTGATCTGCTGGGAACAGTGTCTTTACGACCAGTCCACAGCGGGACACTCAAATGTTATGTAAAATGGAGGTAGTGGGTTTGCTATCCCATTGTATAAACCTAGATATTTAACAATAAATAAATAAATTTGGCTTATACAAATATATATGCTTAATACATATAATTGTGTGTCTCTCGTCAAATTGAAGAAAAGATAGTGCAAAAGCGGAAAAGAAAGCACATCGATATTAAATCCGCTACCTTTACGCTTCCGAGCATTTGGCGGAAAGACCCTTTGTCATTGGAAGTTTCAGTAATGGTTGTTACGTTGTTTCACTTCAATAAATCTCAAGGGGCCTTCGAGCGGTTGCGCTGTTCAGATAACGGCTCAGAAGCATGGATATAGTGGAATCGAATCCCGCTATAACACTGGATGTATATTCTTTCTGTCTTTCTCAAAGTTGTGCTATCAGTGTTTTTCGAATTGAAAAGAGTTTTTAAGCAATTCTTAGTATTCAGAATAAAATCCACTTATTCATGTGAATTAATAAATATACCCTTATAAAAGATGCATACGATATACACATAGCATTTTCTCTTTATTCGAGGAATATATTTAAGAAATAAATAATTAACCGTTATCTAACTCTTATCAGACATTAAAATTCGCCGCCATTTTAAATAAACCGCAGTTTTAAGTAAAAGAAGTACGTTGAAAATCAATTCATGTAATCCATTTTCTAAGGAATGTTTTTATTTGGTACGCATAAATAGTAAAAAAATATATCAGAAAATACTAAAAAGGATTCTATTTGTTGATTAATTAATTTATAAATAAATGAATAAATAAATAAAATATTTAAATAAAAATTTTAAAAAAATTGCGTAATAGTTTATTTGTCAACAAATAAGTAACTAAATAGAAATAACTCACTTAAAATAAATGAATTATAACTAAAATGCAAACGAATTAAAGCAAATATATAAATGAAAACTAATAAAAACAAAAACTAATAATAAAATTTAGTGACCATTACAGTCACTTATTAATAAGCTAAATTAAGGATAAATGCAGGTAAAGTTAAGTTTCAACTTACAGTGCTAGATGCCCATCAAATATGACTTCCGTTTCGAGAATATCTAGTCTTGATTTCAAATCATCGTTTTTATGTTGCATATCTACGATTACACTATTCAGAAAATTTACCTAGAACATAATTTTTTTGTTTCATTGAAAAATAAAATAATGCTTGAACTTATTGCAAATTGTTAAAGAATTAATATTTACTGAATAACATGTGACACCAATTTAGAATTTTAAATGATATTTAAATCTTCTTTAAATATAGATCAAAAGTGTCAAAATTTTATAAAACAATTTAATGCTTATTGTCAATTTTAAATTTCAATATATTTTTTTATTACAGCTAAAATTTCGGCAGACGAAGTGCTTAAAAAATAACTGAAATAGAAGTGAAATAATAAGATGGATGAAATATAATGGATAACCTACTTGTTGGTCTAAGGCTTCTTTATCTCGAATTATTTGAGTTATGTGATTACCTGTAAAGAAAAGAATACAAACATTTAAATCACTTGAAGATTAAAAATTAAAACTGATAGCTTACTGAAACTTTAAAAAAATCAACATAATTCACTCTAAGATTAGTAGCAATAGTTTGTAAAATAACTGGAATATAGTTAAATATTCATAATTATATGCAATGCGATACTCCTAAATATATATTCAAACATTCTTTGAAGCATTATTTCTGTACAAAAAGATATGCATGTACGTTTTAATTAAAATAAAGTAATAGTTTTAGATAATGATGAAAAATTCACTACTTTTGAATTAATGCCTTTTTCTTTATTCAAATTAGGCACTAACTTTAAACATTATATGCACAGAAAAATATGATATAAAAAACACATCAGGATAATCAGGAATGCAATGGGAAATCAGAAAATTAGAAATCGAACGTTTCTTTAAATGTACAGGAAAATATAAACAGATGTCTTAGTAATTTCACAGAAATAAAGTTACTAAACTTTGCAAAATACTTCCTGGACGTATCAATGACAGACCCAGAGTTTAGCACAGGAAATTTCACCTTTATTAGGACATCTTATTTGGTGAAGATATTCATTATTTAGTATATCGAATTCATCAACAATATTCATCCACTATACCGAATAACCGGTAACTTGTCCATGAAAAAATTAACAATACATTAAAGCATATAGAAAAAGTCCCTTTCGTGAAATTCGAAGGGAAAAACCAATATTTTCCGTAATTCAGTGAACAAAATACTTGGTTATATGCATTTGTACATGAATTTACGTAATAGTAACAGATATTTATAATAACCTGTTGATGGAGTACTTTATTAACAGGATCTGCTTCGTTTCGATAATCTCAGCACTCGGGGTAAGACATATAAGCTAACATCAACATACTAAGTCGATTTAGAATTTAGAATATCAAGATAAATTAAAGAAGAAAAAAAACATTCAAAGAAATGTGATTAAAGGAAGAGAAAGCTGTTTAGCAATGACAAAGAAAAAAGAAAAACCATCAGACAAAATAAATAAAAAAAATAATAAATAAAAAAAAAATAAATAAATAAAAAAAAATTAAAAAAAAAAAAAAACAGGAAGAACCAACGTAACAAAATAGTTTTACAAAAAAAAAACCTAAATCCTTATTTGATGTTTTTTTACTTTATTTATTTTTGAATGAAGATGATAAAAGCACATTAGATGTTGATTGTTTATCTTTGTGATGATGTATTTTCTAACTCAAAAAAGGAAGAAAGATGCATCCATTGTTTAAAAGTGCTTTCTTTCCTTTTTTTTCTTCTTTTTTTGGGGCCCACAAAAGCTGCAGTGGAGTGGAGGAAGAAGATAATTAATTCACATGCAAATTTGGTACATAAATTAATGCACCTGATCTTATCCCAATAGATCATGTGATATGACCTTTCTTAGAAAAAAATAATGTTTCGAGGAATTTTTCAAGAATAACGCATTGTTCACAAATAACAGTTTCTGTGTCCCTAACAGGCCTTCGAATTTTAACTACGGGGTTTTTCCTTACTTTCCCCTGTTTGTCTAAAAATATAAAATTTGAAAAAGTATTTTAGAATCCTGAACGTATTCAAAACGTAATACAACAACCTTAATGATCTGCTTAAACAATTTATTAATGAAATATGAATAAGAAAGAAAATTATTTACTTGATTCTGATTTTCCATTTTTGACAGTCGACAGTTCAACATGCAAATCACTTATTTTCCTCTCCAGTTTCACTTTGTCTTCTTTCAGCTTTTCTGTTTCTTCTCTCTAAAAAACGTATTCCAAATAAAAATCAATATGTTAAATTAATATGCTCAAACTAAAATTAAAAGTTAAGGTCACAATAAAATGCAAAATAATACCATAATTATTAAAAATTAATGGTCATTTAAACAGATTCCAGAAAACCGATAATTTAATTATAGTATATCATATATATATATACATAGCACTTACTAAGACAATTAAATTTAAAAATAATTACTGATCCAAAAATTATTGAATTAATTACCAAATTCAGTTTTGATTGTATTTTACTACTTTAAAATCAAATTTAAAAAAACAAAACATGGTATATTTATATTGTTTTGCTTTGTTTTAGTAGAAGATACAGAAATTTGTATAAAAATACAAATTCTTAATTAAAATGAATTAATAATTATCATTACAAGAAATATTTATTCTTGATGTAAATTTTTTCGCTTAATTTTAAAAGCTTTTGAATTTTTTTTTCTGACAAATGAATAGTTCCCCCCCCCCAAAAAAAAAGTGCACATCGATTTATTTTAAATTGTTGCAAAATATACAATACTTAACCAGAAATCTCTTTGCTTCGTTTTAAAAAGCTTTTGCAAATTTTTTATGACAAACGAATAGTTTTTCCCATAATACGAAAATACGCTCACTGATTTCTTTTAAATTGCTACAAAATATACAATACTTAAAAGCGTATAATGTAAGACTGAAAGGAAAAAAACAAAAAAAATAAAAATAGAACAATTAATTGAAAGGCACCAGATATAATATCAATCTTTTAACTTTAACACATCAAACACTGCCACTCTAATATATTTTTAAATAATCAGAAAAAAAGGAATAAAACTCTTTTCTTTAGCTGTTATTACTTTATTAAGAAAGAATTTTGAAAAAAGAAGAAACTGAAAAAAAAATTTAGTCTAACTTCGTGTTATGTTTTTTTTTAATTTTATTAATTTTTTTTATTTATTTTAATTATATTTTCTTAAAACTATTAAAGTTATATAGTTCTTTACCGATCATTGGAGTTGCTTGCATTTTTAAAAATGACCATTTAGCGCAAAGAAAATTAATGAATTCGTTCATTTATTTATTTTTATTATCATTATTTATTTTATTTATTGTTTTTCTTACTTGTTGTTGACGCATAGATGCTGCTTTTTCTTCAATTAATAGCTGAGAAGCTTCAAGACTTCGTGTTAGGGATTGTTTCTGAGCTTCGGCTTCAGCTAGTCTGAAAACAAAAAAATAAATAATTAAATAATAAAATTTATAAATTAATGCTTATTTATAAAAGAGAACACTAACAATAAATAGTTATTTGTTTTAGAAAATTTTGTTACTTTTGTTCAAAATTAAAAACGGATTTAAACATTATTTAAAATTCTAAATTGTTGTTATATGTTATTCAGTAAATATTAATTCCTTATAAATTATCAATAAGTACAAGCTTTATAAATATGAAAAACAATCTGTAGCTTTGCATATTATATTCATTGCCAAACTTTTTAGACAGTTTGATATCTCAATGATCCGGAAAAAAAAACTATTAGTTGAATTTTTTAGAATTAGCTTTAATTAAAGTGAATCAATGATCAATACCCGAGAAAAAAACAATAATATTTTGTTTTTACTTAAATGCATAACACGTTTATTTAACTTTATATGTTTTAATAAAAACAATTTTATTGAAATGATACTTTAGAAAAATTTATTATTTAATAATATTTTTGGATAGTGCAGGCTTTATAAAGAATAATTTAACCGAACTTAATTTAACCGAATTATATAAAAACCTGCAACAATTAGATAAGTCTAAGATAAATTAGATAAAGATTAGATAAAGAGATTAGATAAATAAAGAGATAGATAAAGAGATTAGATAAATTTCTTAAAAAAAAGTATCATAACAAGCTTTATCAGTTTATTTCGTAATTTATTTTATACGTTTAATGGAAAAGAAATGTAACAGTAAAAAATTTGCAATTTAAGTTCCTTTTAATTAATGTATTTCAGGTGCTTCCATCTATTAGCAAAATACATAACTAAAATCATACCTAATATAAAATGCAAATCTATATTTATTTATTTTTTATAATTCAGTGCTGTTTATCCTTAATTATAATGCTGATAATGCTCATTCCCCCTTTTTTTTTAAAAAATTATAGTTGAACATTGAAATTTTACTCACTTCACAAAACTATTATTATGAAATATACTTTCAAAAAATTTCATTTTTCTTATTTCACAAATAAATATATTTATTTGCAATTTTTTTTATAAGAAATAGAAGAATGTTAAAAAAGAAGTAATTCTTTTTTTAAAAACAATTTTGTCAACAGCGATTTTCGGAATTATAAATTTAGTTACTTAAATTTTAATTCAAATTAGGTTTTTGTATTGATTTTGATTTGCCACGGAACATTTGGCAAATCAGATACTGGTTTGAGTTAAATCAGAAAACAAATTTTAATTTATACTTTTCTTTTTGAAAATATTAATATAGAGTTCCACTATACCTAACTAATATGATGAAACAGCGAACTATTGGAAATCAAATAATAGAGAATTAAAGAATACGAATTCTATTCATAAATAGTTACTTCAGTTATTAGAAACACTAACGAATTTGAGAGATTATAAAAAAAAGCATATGCTCTTTCACAACTCAGAAAGTTTTTCAAAATAAAATAAATTTGGGTAAAAATTAAAAAAAATTCAGATCATATGGTTTTAAACATAGGTATTCAAATGCTTGAAAATGGCTTTTTATAGCATTAACTTCTGTTATCTTGAAAAAAATATTTCTGACAAAAACAGCAAAGAGCTTTGATATTTTTTCATGAAACTGAATTTTATCAACTTCGGTTTCCCTGTAAGATTTGTTAGTTCATATCTTTTTGGATATGCATCTAGGAGATAGGAAAGTTGAAAGAGAAATATTATATTCATTTAATTTTATTATCACCCAAGGGCAAAAGTAAAACCTTAATTTAAATAAATAATAGAATAATACAAATTTGATTATTTCTATACTTTTTTCAAGGTTTATTTATTCTAATTAATCTTCCTACCTTAGTAGTTAGGTATGTAAGATTTTATTTAGATGACATGGCTTGTGCCTGATTTATTACTGTTCAGTACAATATTTTTACTTTAACACCCATTCAGCATTTGACAGACAATCGACAGTCCTCTATGTCACCTTGCTGTTCATGCAACCGGAAACCTTTATCTATATTGTCTTAGTTTAAGAATTCCAAATATTAATTAATGAAATATATGAGTCATACTGCAACTGACCGATACATACTGACCGAAAAAAATGCAGACTTTAAAAACGCAGTGAGAAAAAATTAATTCTGTAATAAAAATATACTACATGCTGTTCAACAGTTCAATTTAACAGAGTATTGTTTTTTTTTTCCAGTCCAAATGAAAACAACTCATAGCAAACAAAAATTGTGTAATTTGTGACCTTCACACTTTTATCACTTCACTTTGGCAAGAAATATTAAAATCCATTAATCAGATCGCCGATTACAGCGGCAAGCAATTTAACCAGTCGCTGTAACCGCCAATATCTCCTGGACTAAAGAAAGAATTTTATCGTGAAAATTCATCTCGTGCGTCACGTAGCTCGTAATGAAGTCGTGAGTGAGTCACTTTTTTTCTGTAATAGCCCCGCCGCCCTCTCTCTCTAATTATTCAATCAAGATGCAATCGTAGTTAGATTCATTCAACGACTTAAGATAAAAGAAGCGTGTCTGGGAATCTAACAGAAAAACAAAAATCCCAGCAGCTTGTTTTTTGATTGTCTGAACAGTTGACAAACGCCGCATTTTATTGTAAGAGAAATGTTTGATAGTTCATATTAATGCTGTTTTTCGAAGCTCTGTCACCAAAGAAAACAAAACAAAAAGCCATACTTTAAGTGTCTTAAACTTGAAGCAATAATTTTAAACCATATATATAATTTCGGCGTGAAGAATTGTCAGGGCTCTGGAGGAGAAAAATAACGAACATTAGCTATATTTCTGTTCCTACAATGAAAAACTTATTTTTACTTTAACGCATATCAAATCCAATTTAAAAGGTGTCCTTGATATATATTTTTAGGACCCTTTGTAAAATGAAGTGAACAAGTGTTCTCAATAAGGGTCGCTATTTGATATTTAAGTAAGAAAAAAATGAGCACGATATCAAAATATCACGAATCATTATTGAGGAGGGCATAATTATTTAGAATTGGAGCCATTATTGGAGCGAACCATTATTGGAGGGCAGAATTGGTTATTGCAGTAAACAGGTAGAAGTTTAAAGTCGATTTTTTTAACACACTTCAAAGTTTCATCTAGCAATCAAACTGGTCTTGTTATTCTTCTTCCATGCCTTCATTACTAATGGTATAAGAGAATCAAATAGTAGTTTTGTTTCAGATTTAAATATTTATTTCGGATCCTGAAAGTCTATATTTTGCTCACTTTATTTCTTACATAGATTTTTATAATATTTATTAAAGGTGGTCAATGCCGAATATTTTTTTAAGGTTTGATATCCTTCAAACACACCTGCCACAACTGTCTGATGATAGACGTTATACGGTCAATTTCTCCCAATTCCTAAAGAAATTTGGTCTGGTATAAGTTTTTTAACAACCGTTTCTCTATTTATAAAATTATATGCATTGTATGAATTTAATTTCAAATTTAGTCAAAATTGAAAATGCATTTTATCAATAACATACATATAGGCGTTTAAAAGTGACGGTCATCTTCGTTAACCTAAACTATGTCTCTAAATTCCGAATTTCGGTGTTTTACGAGAAACGAAAGCAGTTTTCTGCCTCTTACATTTTAGTTCTCTGGAGAGAAAATATGCAGTTTTTATGATGAGAATAAGCAAAAAAGAATGTTTTTTTTTATAATTTCGTTAAAAAAAAATTAAATAAAACTATTTCATTACAATTAAAAATGCTTTTAATATTAATGCTAAATTGAACTTCGTAAGAATTGTGTAAAACAGATACGCAAATCAACCAACAAGAATAAGGGACATATTTTTATCTTTAAATAAGGAGTAAGCTACAACCCATATTGAGAAAGAAGGGTCATAGTGATAAAGGTTCCACATTTAGTGACCAGCAGCGTGATTGGGATAGTACGTTCAGTATTGCGCACATACCGCCTCTACTTCTCAAACTAGCAATCTGAAGCTGGGGGCACTTCAAGCCACCACTGAGGATCTAGCTTCTGTTCTTCACAGATGAAAGCTTTTAACCACGAATAAAACATTAAAGATAATTCGCGGGGTTAACGAGAGGGTTCGTTTACCCCATCAAGTCTACCGATGTTATCAAAAACAAAATAGATAGTAAACGAAAATGAGCGGAACATTATTACGAATCGACTGCAATTTATTGTTTTTACACACACTCAAGGAGAAAAAATATGTGATCTTTGCTTCTTTGTAAATTGTTTACCGTACAGTACTCGTGGAGCTAAATACCTTCTTACTAATACAATTATCTGCAAAAGCAACACTTTGTTGACTATAAAACTATTAAAGCCTTGTTCTCGTCTTCTTTCTAGCCAAAGTTAGATTTTTCGCCCCCCATTTTACGTTTATCTATACTCAACATGGTATGTCGGTAAAATGAATAGAATATCGGAAGTATAATTCACAGACATGTGTATAAGAAAATACAATCAGACACTTGAGCAACGGGGAACAAAAGAGGTTGAATCTGTTCATATAAGTTACTACAATTACCAATAAACAATTTTCTATGAACATCTGATTCATAACAACAGTAGAAACACTTCAGATTGAAACCTATTTATATGTAACAACAGAGACGAAAGCTTATATCAATCAAGGCGGAAAGGAAGACAAATTAAGGCGAAAGACATAGTGGCATTTTTTTTAGAGAAAAACGAAACATATGTAACTACCAAGATTTTTTTTTACAATTATAGCATATATATAAAACTGCTTCTTTCCCGAGAAATAGTAGATATTGTTGAATAGTTAGGAGAAGTTGAATAGTCATGGATTTACTCGTCTCGAAAGTTAGCTATAGCTGAAATGGTTATACCACCAGATTTTTCTCTCTTCCGTCTCGCTTTTACACATATGTAAAGATTTGAAACATAGGGAGATTTCTAACACTTTCGAAAGGAACGAAATAATTGTAAACCAACAAATACTTTTTCTTTCTCGAAAATTATTAAACATGTTAAGCTCGTAAAAGCAGAACTTTCCGTAGGCTTTTTAACATTAAACTAACCATTTATTACATTTCCCCTTGTTTAACTCAAGATATCGTTTAAACAGGAAGTGTAGTATTCGAACTTAAATGTATTTTTATCTTGCCTTTCCAATGAACACTTTTTAAATTATTGCAGCACTAACAAACAATATTATTTAACGACTTTCATACATCAGAGATCTAAAAAACACATCTCAACACATTTTATAACTTCTTAGTTACAGGGAGAAACAGCAGAGAAAATAGTCAAAACTAATTTTCTATATCGTTCATCAACAAGGATGCCCTACAATTAATGAATTATTTATATTCCACTGTTTAGTGAAATAGAAGTCTTAGTTCCAAATTTTCTCATTAAATGGCGTAGTTAACAGTTTTATTGAGCAGCTCCTAGCCACTGTATTATATAGAAACATATTTCTTAATATGATCATTATAAATGTAGTAGATGGTGTTTTTGAAATTTTTGTGCCAATTATTAGAAAGAAGCCACTGTTTAAGGACCTTAAACTTTAAACAAAGCTTTAATTTAAAACTATATTTATTATTTGGAGAATTATCTGTTACAAGTCCCGCAGTGGACTGATCGTTAAGACACGGTTCCCAGCAGATCACCGAAGTCAAGCATCACTGGTTGCGGTCAGTGTGCGGGTGGCTGACCACTTGGTATCATCATCAGTCTGCGTAAGGACTGAGGGTGTGCGGTATTGGTCCTCGTTAAACTGTTCTACCGTAAAGTACTCGACTTCACGTGCAGGTCGTCGGGCTACCGAAGCGGGGGTGCCATCCCCTCTGCAGAGGATTAAAATTGTGATGGCATGTCTTTGGATCATCGTCAGGGATGTTTCCCAGTCCGTCGCCAATAGCCCATTGTGCAGCTCTAGTGTGACGTAAATGAACTACAAATCTGTTACAAACGAATAGCTCAAATATTCGGAAATAAATTTTGCAATTTTTTTAAAACAGAAAGTAATTGCAAGTTTAGGGGAATTTTTCAGATCGAGGAATATTATTTAAATAAGTGATAAATTGTCATTTTTTTGCATTTTTGCAGGATTCAAATCAATGCAACTCTGAAGTAGCATTTTCAAATATGAAAAAAGCAGATCACAAACGCTTCCCGCTTTTACAAAACTGGGACTTCTCTTAAAATTTGTGAAATTTTAGTCACCAGCATACAATAATCTGGATAAAGATGAACATACTATCATACTGAAAAAAAGCATATTTGTTCGCTAAATAAAAAAGTTATCTCCTTTTAGCATTCGCAGAACAGCCTTGAAAAGAGACTAAAACTAGCTACATTATTTGTAATATACAGATTTTCTTTCATCATTATAGCTTTTAATCAAATAATTTGATAAAAGGTATCATTTTATGTTCACCAAGTGCGAATAGTGTGGTGAACGACATTTTACACATGCGTATTACAAATTAAAACATTATTAATCCAATAACAATTATTATGAAATAATTATAAAATTTTATCAAATTTTTCAAAAATTGCAAGTTATGCTGCAAAAGTATTCAAGACATATAGTTAATTTTGCATGGTAACACTTAGTTTTCATAAATCAGAGCTTTCAACATCATCCACCAACTAAGTGTTCTCCAACATCAGTTTTGTGTATTAACTCAGCATTTAATATATACCAAAACTTTACATTTAATATATACCAAAATACTTTTGTAATGATCTTCTATGAAAAGTTATCAGGTAGGGAAACCATAGCATGAGAATTTGTTAAAAAGTAATGCTAAAATACTATTACTTTCACTGAAAAAGTGTTACAAGTGTTATGTATCACGCAGTAAACTTAAAGGCAAAGTTTAGTAAAGTTATGTGGCAAAGTTATAGAATTATGTATTAAAGTCAAAATATTTAAATTGTGTTGTTATGGTAAAATTTTAAATTGAAGTCATTAAGAATATAAACATATAATCAGCTGTAGTTAGAATTGTGTTAATCTTGTTATAAAAGTATAAAAGAAATTAGTCATATAACTGTTACTAATACTTTTATTCTCACTTATGTTACAATAAGTTAGTCATAAAAATTTGTTCGAAAGCAAGACTCTAATTTACAAAAACACTTAAAGACATAGTAGAAAAATAGAAGCCTATAACACACCTGTTACTAGCAGCTTAAATGAGAGCTAAATTGGGATTGATTTAAAGATTTTAAGGCACGGTAAACATCTACAAGAACGAAATTACACAAAAAATATATCAAGATAAGCTTCAATATTAAAATAGCATTTCAGTAATTTTTTATTACTTTGCAGTGGTTTTATTAGAGTAAATCCAATGCATTAAATAAAATATAATGCATTAGAGTAAAACAAATTCATTCGAGTGAAGTCATGCATACATGAAAATACTTTTACTTGTAGTTCGTTACTTCTTGAATTAGGTACTTTTATTTTTTTTGTTACTTTCTTTGGAAAAAGGAAGAGTATTTGTAACAGAAATGTGGAAAAAAATCGCTACTTTTTTCTAAATTGTTTTAAAAATTTTCCTCAAAAAAAATTTGTTTCGAAATTTTTGAAATCATATTTTTTCAATATATAAATTTAATGCATTATATATTCTTTCTCGCTAAGAAAAATAGTTTTTTTATCTTCTTTTCTTGCATCTGAGCACAATTGGGGTGCAAAGAGGTCGAAGGTCACAGCATAACCGCCTGCAAATTCCTAGAAATTAAAAATCAACCCACCAGCATAATTAATTTTGTTTCTATCCGAAACAACATGTTCAATTTTTGTTGAATGAATTCAATGCGGAATATCTAATATTCAAATTAAGAAAATCTTCATTACTTAAATTTTACAATTATTTTCTTTTTATTTTTACAGAAACGAAATAGTTTTAGTTTAATTTTACAATTATTTTCTTTTAATTTTTATAGAAACGAAATAGTTTTAGTTTAATAGATTTCAAGGGGTTATCTGTACAAGAATATATTTTTTTTACTTATTTCTTTTAAAACAAAATTTCATACTTATTGGAATTTATTCACAAATTAATTTATAACTACATATTCCGGAATTAATAAATTAAAATTTAATTTTTTCTTAAATCTTTTTAATGAAATTTAAGGTTACTTAGAATTTTCGATTTCCACCAAATATACTTGAAAATCCTTACTTTTTTTGTTTCGTACTTGTACTTTTACTCGTAATATTTACTTGTTACTTTTTAAAATCAAACCTTTTTACTTGTCAATTTTGCTTAAAGTACTTATACTTTTACTCATTACCTTTAAAAAGTTACGTTCCCATGTATTAAGCCAATGCATAAAAACAGAACCATTGCATAAAAGGAAAACCGTTTTAGTGCAATACCATCGCTTAAGAGTAGATACTCAGACAGAAAGCTTAAATTTTAAAAGAAAAAACCACCATGGTAAACACACTAATCTTTAAAAAAAACATTTGAATTTTTGATACCATTGTTTGTTAATATGCTAGAAAAGAAGCAAACTGTGCAAAATACATTGTCTTAAAAAAAGCTTCTAAATTTGCGTATGAAATAACGTTATGAAAGCTTATGCTTTCTATTTTTTGCATTTGAGTAAAAAATAAGTTCACAATAAATAAGGAAGATGAAAGATATGGCGCAGAATGTTAGGAAAAAAAATGAAGAGAAAGATGGTTGTGGATTGCTCTACCTCCTCTTTAACGTGTCCATTTCTTGACGAAGACCATTTTCAACCTGGAAAAGAAAACAAAATTAAACTCTGCAATGTTTGGATGAAAGGCAAAACAATCACCGATGAGAAAATTATTATAATAATAATAATCTACAGGGTGCCAAAAAAGTGGACTATCCTGAATAACTTTTGAACTTTGGAACTTCACTTTCTAAGACTCAATCTTAATAGGGGACTTTAAAAAAGCTAATTATTTAATGCTGACGATATTCTAAGTTAAGAAATCAGACACAAAAGCGTACTTATTTCTGAATAAACATAACGTTTTTTTCGACCGATTTCTGACCCCAAAAATATAGGGTGTAGTCGCAATCTGGGAAATAAAGTCTGGGAAATATAGTTCGGGTCGAAGTTTTGATTGATATATGTATAATCGTGTGAGCTGATGAAAATATTCTATCTTTATTTTCCGGATTTTTATTAATCCCCCTCCCTTTTTTCGGATATTTCCTTTCTTCGGATTTTTATCATTTTTATTATTAAAATTTTTCCTTTTCCCTTTTTTTATTGCTCTGTTTTTTTTTCCATGTTTTTGAAAGTCAATGCACGTAGCCCTTAAGAACGACTAACCTCCATTTACGAACAGGGAGTGGTCGCTCTCGAGAGGTTTCACTATCTATCCATCTATCTATCTATCTATCTATCTATCTATCTATCTATCTATATATATATATATATATCTANCTAGATCAGCTTACAGCACAGGAACTGGTACTATAGATTGGAACTGGCACTACAGATAGGAACTGGCACTACATATATATATATATATAATAGAGTCAATAACATTGTTTACATTCCAATTCTGAATTTTCGTTTGGTTTAAATTCATTGGTGTTAAGATAAAAATTGGAAATGATGAAGAAAAATAGCTTCTTCACGAAAATGTGAAAAACAGACAAATAATCCTTCATCCAATTTTTGATTTTTTCTATTTTTGCTTTTTGATTACTGATATCAACGAAATGACTATAACTCAAAATTCGTAAAACGTATCATTTCAATCGTTTCTTTTTCTAAAACCAAACAGACTCGAATGTTTTAATTTAATGACCAAAGAATTCTTACCTGTATCTGATCCTGATGCCGACTAGAAAGCACGGTTTGAAGTTGATCTCGTTCTCCTTCGGTCCATTTCAATCTTTGCGTCATTTGTTCAACAATTCCGCGCTGCTCCTCTCTGAAAATAACAAACATTGTTCAATAAGTTAGGAAAAATATTCTATTTTATTCTAATCAGAAATAAATTCTTTAGTTTGTATAGTTAAGTATAAGTTACAGTTTAATCAACGAACTAAGAAAAAGAAAAAGAATTTATTTTAAGGCAAGTGCTTTTGGTATGAGACCATGTTCTTCGTATGGTCACCTTATTGTAGTAAACAAGAAAATAATAATAAAAAATATATGCTTAAAAGTCACTCTTAGTGTGCCACTTTATCATTTCCTAGTTCTACAGATTGAACTTGAGAAATTTTGTCATATCCGAATAATTTCCTATCAAGGCATTTACCAAGAGTGTAAAAAAGAAAAAAAAATCAGGATCAAATTACGGTAAAACTTACCGTCACTCAGTTACCCCGGGCAGTCGGGGTAAAAAGTGCCGACACTCAGGGTACCGGCTCTTTTAACTCTAAAATACATTTTCCCCGAAATAAATTACGACTCAAAAAAATCTCTGATACCATAATTTTTACAGCAATAATTAAGGTAAAAATCACTGAGTCTGTCTAATTATGTAAATATTACAGTAAAATTTATGGTATAATATTTTATGGTAACAATGGATTTCAAGGTTGATACATCTAATAAGACGATACCGTAATTTGATCCGGAACTTCATACAATAAACTTTATACGCTAGTTAAAGTACATAAAATAGTTTTATTCAGAAATATAAAAGTTCTAAAAAAGCCTTCGACCACTAAGAATTATTTAAAAAATTTAGTTTTGATAATTTTGGGTAAGATATCTCTCAAATATAACAATATCTGCAGGTGCAGTGTAAAATTCTGACTCAAATTTCAACATAAAGTACCAGCACTCAGGGTACCAGTACTTTTTACCTTAAAATCCATTTTTACCAAAGCATTTTATGAAACGAAAAAAAAACTGATGTACTAACTGATGAAAAACTGATGATGTAAAACTGATGAAAAAAAACTGATTTTTAAAATAAAATTTACTGTAAAAGCACGGTAATTAAATAAGTATTACTGTACTGAATTGCGGTATAAATTTTTCCGGTGAAAATGGATTTTATGAATACTCCATGTAGGATGCCAGTACTTTTTACGGTAATTTAATCCAGAATTTTGTAAAGTGTGGTTAAATCTGCCGTGCAATAAAAAAATCGACGTAAGCGACAAAACATTCAAAATTGAATTTTTTGTGTTTTGCTTTTTTATATAACACCCATTTCAAAATTTTTCTTTTACAAAATTAAATTTTGTTACATAAGTTTTTTGAGGTTCTATTTTAACGTTTATGGCATCAGCAATTGAAATAATATAACTGTCAAGACACTTTACTCAAAATCTATTGTAAAGCACTTTTGTTGTTTTTTCAATTACAAGGCTGGAAAGTGGAACATTTACATTGTTTTTTAATTTTCAGGTTCTGCAGTTATTGTGATGCTTTTTTAAACGCTTTATTGTAAACATTTCAGAATTTCACGATTCATAAATATATTATATTTCACGATTTATATTTACATTATATTTCACGATTTATAAATATATTATATTTCACGATTTATAAATTTCACGATTTATAGTTACTCCTTAGTTAACCTTAAAACGTCAAAATTTTACGAATTATTCAGGTTTTAGTAAAGTTTAAACAACTATTTTAAACTTAAGTATTTCGTTTTATTTTAACTAAGTTGTGTTTCCACATTTAAATTCAAAATATTCACGTGAAAATATAATTCATTTTATGAAAGCTTTTGTATGGATAAAGCTTTTATAAGATATATTTTTTCCTAAATTTACGTAATTGTGAAGAACGGATATTTTCCACTTATGTATATTTTCTATTGTCCTTGAATCATTAATTCGGTCAATGCATTCGGAACAATTTCATTTGGTAATGATGCACACTACAATTAAGATGATTACGAATTCATTCTGCGGGAACATTTTGGCATAAAACCTCGACGAACGTAGTAATTTATCAGCAAATTTATATAAAAAATGTATGATAAAATGAGGGAATTATTTATAGGATAATTACGGTACCGTTCTTTAGATTTTATATTTAAAGAAGGAAAAAATAATAATTAACATCGAAAAAGATGTTTAAAAATACCTTTTTTTCCTTTTACTAGCAAGTAAATGCAATATCGGATTACATATGTTGTGCAGTTCGCCTAAAGAATAACGGATCACCCTGAATAACTTTTGATCTAATAATCGGAACTTCACGTTAAAGGACTCATTCTTAATGGTTCGAGGGGGTGACCTCAAATATGCTATTTAATTAGTGCAGACGATATTTAAAGTTAAAACCAGATATGGAGAAACAAATTGAAGAAAAGAGTGTTCAATGCAGATAGTTTTGCAGATAACAATGCAAATACTTTTGAATAAAAATTAATTGCTGGGTCAGTTAGTTACTTTCTGGGAGTAATTCCTCCATTCTTATAAAATTAAGTTGAATATTTCTTTACTTTCAGGATTTCTTGTAATTTACACTTTCGCGAATTTAAAAGAAAAATATTAGTTATAACTCATATTGATGACACAAACTTTTTAGAACAAAATACTGCTCAATTTATTTTAGTATTAAAATTCATAAATGTATAAATCATTTTAATTGTTAAGCTGTGTATTGCGCTATTAGCAATTAATGTCCGAAATACAGTTTAAAAAAGTAATTATACTGCAGTCTATAATTTGCATACTGGTCAATTAAAATATTTCGTTTGTGGCAATTCACGTATTTTTTAAATAAAAACTTACCTTTTTCAATTGAAATTATTTTCTTTGAATCATGAATACATTTTTCATTAACATATGTTAAAGGTATTTTTACTCTTTTAGCTGAAAGATAACTACTCACATTTGCATGTGCAGATCTTGAACGACTTTTGAGTCAAATTCTGTTTCGGCTAATTTTTTGACTAAATCTTCTCTGTGGCTCATAAATTCCGTTCTTAAGTGTTGAACTTGAGATTTTAAAAGGTTCACTTCTTCGCTTCCCTTATTTGCTTCAGATTCCCACCTTTGCTTTGTCTTTTCGGCTGTTTGTAACCTTTTCCACAACTTTAAAACACAATCAAATTACGTTAATTATTTGACACAAAATAACATGCAAATCATTGAAATCACAATAAGATTTTTATTACAGTAATTATTATTTTGAAGAAATATTAGCCTACATATTTTAATCCTAATTATTTTGAAGAAATAATAGCCTACAAGTTTTTTTAGGATTAATTACAAATTTTAATCCTAAAAAAATAGGTTCAACCTTAAACTACAATTTTGGTACTTTAAAACTGTACTACAAACCTATAATTTGGTCATTAGGTAAAAGTATTATCTGCATTGTTGATAATACTTTTGCAGTCTATAAGAACAGTATAAGTTGATTTAGAAAACATCACGGGTACCAATTTAAAAATTGAAACAGAACAGAGAAAAAAAGTATGGTCAAAACTACATGAATACTGTAAAATCTATCGTATTTCTGGCTCGGTAATTTTTACTGAAGAGTTTTGGTAAAATTAACAATAAAATATGGTTTTATAATAGGGGAGAGTTGGATAAAACGGGATAGTCGGACAAAACGGGATACATGGCCTAGGGACCAGACTATTGAACCTATCGAGCGGACGACGACAGAAACTTGTTATTTGACTGTGATTATATCATTTACAGTGCGTACCGTCTCGAGATCACTAGTTGATAGAAAGTTGTAGGTCTCAGAACTTTTTTACTCCATTTTTTTGCCACTTTCTACATTTACTTGCGTTGTTTTTCACATTGTACTGCCTATATATATAGGATTACAATTCCGGTGAGTATTACATTTGGTGAAGCATTTATTAACGAGTATTCTCNCCGATTCCCACCTTTGCTTTGTTTTTTCTGCTGTTTGTAACCTTTTCCACAACTTAAAAATACAATCAAATGACGTTAATTTTATGACACAAAATAACATGCAGATCATTGAAATCACAATAAGAATTTTATCATTGTATAATTATTATTTTGAAGAAATAATAGCCTACAATTATCCTAAAAAAAGTCGGTTCAACCTTGAACTACAATTTTGGTACTTGAAAACTGTACTACAAACCTATAATTCGGACATTAGGTAAAAGTATTATCTGCATTGTTGATAATACTTTCGTGATCTATGAAAACAATATAAGTTGATTTAAAAAACATTACGGGTACCAGTTTAAAAATTGGAACAGAACAGAGAAAAAAAATATGGCCAAAACTACCTGAATACTGTAAAATGTATCGTATTTCTGGCTCGGTCATTTTTACTACTGAAGAGTTTTGATAAAAGTAACAATTAAATATGGTTTTATAATATATGATAAAGTTTGGCAATTTAATCATGAATCCTTAAAGCAGTGCTCTCCGACATTTTTATCGTCGAGGACCGGTTAACGCTTAATAATTTTACCGCTGCCCGCTGAGGAAAGGGATGTTGAATGGTTACATTTTATATCATTTTGATTTACAAATTTTAATTTAATTGTATTTAAACATGCCATTAAAGTAAAATTAAATTACATGAGCAAGATTGGTGCGATTTTAGATGATGTCTCTTCAGATCCCGATTAACCTCTTCTTCATGGAAAGTCGAGAAATACACCTCAGTAAATAAAATGGAAATAATTTAATGTACCTTGGGTGGCCAGGTACCATTTGATCCACGGACCGGTACCAATCCAAGGACCCAGAATTATAAAACATTGGCTTAAAACAGGATATAAAAACCTTTATTCTGTAAAATTTACTTTCCAGTTTTGCATTTTCTTCATAAATGAGTGGAAATAAAAACTATAATTTTGAAGACCAGAATTTCCGATAAAACCATATAAACTTTGAAATTGCCAAATGAATGCTACTTGATTACGTAAGCTTTATTGGATTCAAAAATGATTTAAGTATTTAAAAAAAGAAATGTTTTATTGCAACAGTTTCTTCGGATTATTTATTTAATACAGGGTGAATGGTTGAAATACTTTTAATATTTTGGTTTAAATATAACGTTAAAATACTTATAATCGTTTAAATACTTATAACATTAAAATAGTTATAACGGATTAAATATTTATAATATTTTTGTTTTATTAACCAAAATTATGGCGTTTTCTACCAGAAATGTCATCATCATTCATCAAGGTAATTTTACCAGAATTTTTTTTCTCCGTTCATGAAAAAAATAAGAGGAATAAAAATTGAACAAGAATTTGAAATGAATAAGAAGCGTATTGTAAGTATACAAACATTTATGAAACATTTACCTCTTCTTTTTCAACTCTAATGAGATCTTTTTCCGCTTGCAGACGACTTATTTGATCTCTGAGCCTGTCCACATTCTCAGATTTGAGTTTGGCTTCTTGAATCTGAACTTCTTGCCTCGAAAGCCGGACGTCAGCCTCGGCTCGCGCTGACTCGAGCTCCATACGAAGTTGAGACATACTTTTTTCAAGATCTCGATTTTTTATTTTGCCGGTTTCTTCAGATTCCTATATATCAAGTGATAAAAAAACTATTAAAATAGATTGTAGTACATTGAAAAAAAAATTATGGTCAAAACTGCCTATATACGGTAAAATTTACCGTGTTTGTGGCTTTATTGGAACACCAAAAATCTCGATAATTTTAACCGAAGAGTCTTAGTAATGATATTGGTAAAATTAGCAGTAAAATATGGGTTTATAATATGTGACAAAATTTGGTAAATAATGTAAAATTCCGTAATTTTATCACGTTACTTAGAGCATGGGATAAATAATATTTATTCTTTTCAATTTACTTTTTAGTTTCGTATTGTTGTATTGTTTAATAAATATGAGGTTGTAAGAACTAAAATTTTGTAAAATCAGAATTTGAGGTAAGCCGTTATCATATGAGCGGAAAAGTTACCAGTTTAACCAAATAATAAATTTAAATATCTTACATGTAAGATTTATTAACCTGAATTATGTTTTTTTTTTTTTTTTTTACCAAAAATGACATTGGAATATAGTACGGTAGTTTTACCAGAATTTCTTTTTATATAACTCTAATATAATTTAAAAACCTATTATCATGCACGTTCACCACCAAATATAATTAATTGAAATCATTAGGTTCCACAATATTTAAATTTATTTCCAAAATGTAAATAAGATGATTTAACATTTTTTATTCTATTTTTTTAATATTTCTATTATTTAATAAGAGATTATGTTTATTTTTGGCCATTTTTCTCATAATTGTTAAAATTCTAAATTTAGACTAATAAATTAAAATAAACTGCTTTAATTTAGTGCATAATTAATTTAAAGAAAATCTGTGGAAAACTGCTACTAATGGAATAATTAAATCTATAGGACAGAATAACAGTTTCATTATTCTTTTTTCTAAAGTTTTAAGTGATAATAAATTTTAACGTTAATGAGCACCATTTAATTATGAGGTTCACATATTCTCAACTATTTTTTCTATAGTGTCTTGAATTTATTCGCAAATTGATGAAATACATTATTACTGTACATTTTCTAGAACAATTTTTAGGGTGTCAGATAATTTTTGGATTTTTGACAGCACAAGAAAAGAAATGAACAGGTACTTTTTCTTTAAACACTTTTTTAGACTAACCGTTGATTGCGTTGATAACTTTGACGTTAAACTCATAGGCAGCGATGGAATAAGCTGAAAATGATTCATTGTATAGGTATAAAACTTTTATTAAATATAATATCTGCGTTTCATGAAATGTATTTGTTTTCCCTTAAATTTCTTAAATGTTCTCACTTATTTATTTAACATAGTTAATTTTAAATCCTGTTTTTTTATTCTTTTGTTTATCAAGACATAAAAAATATCTCCAGTGTACCCATTTTTTATTATTTTATTTTATTGTATTTAAATTAAGGGATATTTTAAATTGAGAAATCAAATAAGAAGAGAACCACGTGAGAATGAAGCTTACAGAAGCTCTCTTCTTTTGTTTCCTGAAGTCCTCTTCGTGCTCATCTTTCAAGGAACGAATTCTTTCTTCAAATTCTTTTCTCATCCTTTCTCGCTCCGTCCGTGATTTATCTAAATCTTTTCTAGCTTCCTCACATTCTTTTCGCCATTCAGCAATTTCTCTGCAAATAAAATAAAAATATTCATAATCTCTAAACCACATAAAAAATATTATTGAGAAATTACATTTGTTTAACTTCAGAGGTGTTTTAACTTTTTTAAATTTGTACATTAATACGATTTTTAAAGAAACAAAAATATTTAGAATAAAATTAAACCATTTATTTCATTAAAAAAAAAGCATAAATATATTATGTATTTCAAACAGAACAGCAATTCTAAAGCTTTTTCTTCTTGTAATATTGTTTTAATGAGACAAAAATACTATAAAGCACTAATAAGCCTCATAATCTCGGATAAAATTTTGCTTAACGTAATTTATAATATTTCAAGACTATAACATGAAGTATCCTGAGCGCGTAGGAGTTTCTTTTTGCTGGTATTTAAATAGAGAGAGCGTAATAAATACCAATATGCTTGTTCGAAAGAAAGTTTAGATACTACTAGTGAGCTCCACTCCTGTTCGCTGACTTCCCCCAACCCCCAAAGATTTCTTATGCAATTTTTTTGATTTATTTTGCAAACTCTCTTCACTCGTTACTAAGTTAAACCCATTTGAAATATGTTCTAATGTAAAATCTTACGAATTTAAATCAATTATTAAAATCTTTAAAATTAATTCCTTTTTTAAAAAAATAGCATTTTTAGTCAATAATAAGTAATTGAAATAAAAAATTTGAAATTTAAGTAAATGTCATGCAAAAACAAAAACAATAATTATGTTTTCAAAAACAACGTGCATATCACGTCTCCTACGAATTCTTTCAGTGTTACGTCACGCATAATTGTCATCAACGCTTTCCCTGCTTCTTAAACATTTTTTTATTTTATTATTCTTAAAAATGGCAACAACGTGACTGATACTGATCTTTCACTAACAATAACAAAGAATAAATGTATTATTATTATTGAACTTACGTATGTATAATTGAAACATAATATATAATCCTTTGTTTGTCGATAAAGACTAAATTCTTTTAACCTTTCAATTATTCTCAACTCATAGCTCAGTTTATTTCAGCTTTTCGTTGTCTACGCGGAAAAAGAATTTTTATTCAAACATCTGTAAACATGTGCGTTTACGATTTCATGCTTATAACAGCTCACACACTTGATATATATATNTGGGGAATTCGTATCGACCAATCATTACTGGGATTCGAAGTTCATCTCATTGGAAGGCCCCTTAACCACCACGGTATTTTATAGTTACCTTCTCTCATATTTGATTTAAAATTTCAACATATATATATATATATATATATATATATTCGGATTCGGAGAAAAGGTGACTGCCATGCCCGAGACATTAGATTTTAAGTTCAATTTTAGTACAGATGCGTTGCATATTGACGTGCTGTTGAAATATCTAAGTTTTTTTAAGAAGCATGAAATATTTCGAGAATTAGTGTAATTGAAATTGCAAATCGTTCCAATGACAACTTTGATTTAAGGAAGAAAAATGGTTTTTACGAGTTTTTTCAGATATTTTGAAATGTCAGCTGCATAAAATTTGTTCCAAAATAAAATAATAACATATAATATGTTATGAAATAAGAAGTTTTATAAAACTTTATGTTTATTTAAGATATCTGGCAAAAAAACATGATATTGGACAAAATTTTCCAAAATGAGATTATTATAAATTTATCATTCTTGCACTCTTAGCTTTCTTTATATATACTCCACGCTGGTTAATATACTTTATATATTTTACGCTTGTAACGCAATTATTTACAAAGTTATAGTAGTTTTTGTGCAAGGTGATAACAGTGGATAAAATAATGATTTTAAGTTTTTAACTGCATTTATCTCAAAATCAGATTTTTTTCACATTTTATACCTCCATAATTACAATATCTCACTATGTTTTTAAAATAATCGTCTACCATTATTCAAGAGTATTTTTGATTATAGCACTCATGTTTTGTTCTACAGACTTAGAGAAAAAGTAGAATTTCATTTTTTATTCATGTTTTTTCATAAAGACGGGTATAGAAATTTTTAAAAATTTGCATTTTTAACTACATTGATCCCTTACTCAGAAGTATATACACTTATTGCTTTTAAGTTACTAGTTCAAAACATAGTTAATAGCCTTCCAAATAAAATCACCAAAGAATTTTTGATTTTAGGCGATAGAAATATTTTTACTGTGTTTAGTGTATAAGCAAAAAAATGTCTCATTTTTACCTATAAATGGCCATTTACATATAAAAAATAATTTTTATGCTAGTTTTAGAAGTTCTTACACACAATAAAGCAAACTAGTTTTTTAAAATTTTATGTTAGTGTTCAAAAACAAGTCTACTAGTCATATACCTTAAATGTCGACACTAGTCAGATACCTTAAATGTTAATATTGAAAATAGTAATAGCTAAAATACATTAAATAATAAAAATGTGTAATCTTATTGTTTTATGAATTACTTTTCTCTCTCCTGAAGACGATTGAGAAGTGCTTGTTCTTTTGGTGTAGATTCAGGAGACAAGAGTTGTTCTTCGAGTCGACGCTTTTCAGACTCCAAATGATTCACTTGATCAGATGCGACTCGTAAGCGGCGATCAAGGTCTTTCGTTTTCAAAAAAGAATAAAGCAGTTAGTAAATTTATTAAATTAAATCAAATTTAAAAATTCTACAGAAAAAGATGATGTGTGCTAACACTATAACATCAAATTGCAATTTTAAATTAGCCCGTAATTGTTACTTATTTAAGATGACTTTAAAATAAATTTTGGTAAATATTTTACCAATTCATACAACTTATTTTTTAGAATACATTATACTGTTTTTGATCTATATTTTTGCATTGTGTATTTCAAAATCGGTCATAATTTGCATTTAAACTTGTAAGGTGCTTATGAATTCATGCCTTCGAGTCATATCGACTTCGTGTTATTTTCATTTTGTTTTGTTTTTAAAAAAATATTTCAAAAAAATAATACCTAAATTTTTTTGGGATAGAGAATTTTTAATTTTTTTCCTTTTTAACTCCTTCCTCTTTATTCAAGATGTCTCCTAAAGCTCACCTCACACTGGGAAAATAAAGTATGGTTAAAACTACCAAATATGGTCAAATTTGCCGTATATCGGACTGTATGGGAACACCAAAATGACCAATAATTTTTACCGAAGCTCTTTGGTAATGATTTTGGTAAAATTAACAATAAAATAAGGTTTAAAGTATGCGATAGAATTTGGTAAATGTGGTAAAATTTCACGATTTTAAAGAGCATGGCACTAAAACTAATTATTAAGTTAAATATAACTTTTCAGTTTTGAAATTTTTACTTAATGTGTGGTAATAAAAGCTAAAATTTTGAAAACCAGTATTTTTGGTAAACCGTTACTATATGAATGGAAAAATTACCAAATGAATGGTTTAAATATCGTATATTTTAATTTTAATAAGCCCTTATTATTATTTTTAGTTTTTACCAGAAATGCCATTACCACATATTACGGCAATTTTGCTATAAGTTTTTATCTCCTTGTGGGGAAAGAAAAATTCTGTTTCAAAATTACAATTTTTAAAACGATCTCCAGCTTCTTCCTATTTCTATATTTATTCGTCTAAGTAAATAACACTACATCGAAATGCAAAGTTGAATTTTCCGAATTTAAACTTTCGGAAACAGATTGGAGTATTTAAAAATGATATGAATACAATACTTTTCTTCTAAAGTTTTCCCTTTCCCACAAGTTGAGCTTTATCCGCCATCTTGAATTTACTGAAGGGTAAAGGAGGCCAAAAGAGAGAGAAAGTAGAACTTTATCATATAGGCTAGGACACTAATCTTTTCCATGTATGTTTTTTATACTCTGTCAAATTAGAACAACTGTTTAAATGTCCTAAACTAGTATAAAGTTGGAAATTATAAACTATTTAGTACAGTGTCGAAAATTGAATTTTTTGAATTATATATCAATTTACGCGTCTAATATTCCTATTCAACTAAGTAGAGTGTTGTTTCTTAAGAAATTTTTTACATTGAATCAGATGAGCTCTCCCCACCCCCCCAACCCCCCCCCAAAAAAAACGTTAATAGCCCAATAGTTTAAAAGCAAATCCATCAAGTTAGCAATTTCTAAAATATAAAAGGCTTTGTGTAGAAAAAGTATAAATTGTTAACCAAGACATATTTAAGTCGAAAATATTCAAACTTTTTAAAAAAAACAACAACATGATTTCGGTCTTTTTTGAATTAGCGTAAACAAATACACAAGGAACAGTGCATAGTTTGTCTAGATAGCAATTTCAGATACATAAATAAATAGTATAGATTTAAATGAAATCTATATATTTTTTATAATTTTTAACGAGGCGTAACGGTGTCGATATTTTCTCCACTTTACAATATTTTATGTTGCGTTGCAGGGATGGTAATATAATTCATACATGGTATACATTCAATTGCGTCTAAAAAAGTGAGGTTTTTATATATTGTTTTATAGTGATAATTCACGGGTTGGCCCACAGGTTGATTCATAGGTTCTATTTTAAAAATAATCAAAATTTTTAAAATATTTCGGTATTAATAATAATACGAAAATATTACATGATTTCGGTCTCCTTGCTTCAGTGTAAACATATACATAGGGAACAATACATAGTTTGCTTAGATAGCATTTTCAGATACATAAACAGATAGTATGCATTTAAATGAAATTTATATTTCTTTAATGTGGCATAAATATTTATATATTTTTCTCCATTTTACAATATTTTACGTTACGCTGCAGGTATGATAATATAACTCATACTTGGGGATTCAATTGTGCCGAAAAAGTGTTTTTTTTAATATTTTGTTTTCTATTGATGATTCACAGGTTGGCCCCAAAACTTTTCAAGCTAATGTATAAATATCAAAAATAAAAAATACGCACTAAATTAAACCATAAGAAATAAATAAAGGCCGGTGGAAGGCCGATAGATGGAAGAATTATATTTCAATCATCCCGTATAACAGAATAATAAACACTCAAATTGGACTCCTGACACCCAGTAGCCATAAACAACTTAATAAAAATATTTTACTTTCGGCTTTCTTATTTACGCGACGTCCGATAAAGCCCTTGATTGAGTATTGAGAGTATGAGATAATTTTGTTATAACACAGAAAATTAAAAGTATAATACCGTCAGTTTTCTCTTTATTGCTGAGAATTTCTTCTTCCAAAGCTGAACATTTAGATACTGATTTTTGAAGTTTAACATTAAGCTCTGCCAAAAAAAGAAAATATATTGTATCTAGGTAGAAACATAAAAAAAAGATTGAATTATCAAATTGTGACAATTATAAATTAAAAGTTACTTATTAATAATAAAAGAGCATGATTTTAAGACATATTTTTCTCCAATAACACATTCAGTGCAAAACTATAATTTATTTTAAAATACTAACATATTAAATAATTTTAAATTATTCTGTATAACTGTCTATTTGAGATATACAGAGTTATTGAAAAATAAATATATTTTTTACTTTTTAAAGAGTCATAAAAAGAATTATAAGAAACTGTGAAGAAAATAAAAAATTACAATTGAATTGGAATTCTTACCATCTATGGTATCAAGTTGTCTGGACTGCCGACTTTTACTTTTTTCTAAATCTTTTTCCTAAACAGCAAAATAAATAAATATTTTTCACTGATATTGTAAATTAATCGTATTTCTTCAAATATTTTAAATATGATATACTAAATAACAAAGAAACATTTATAGCGTAATGGGTATTAAAATTAAGTTCAGAAATTAAAAACTGACTTATCTGACCTATGTGTTAATCGTAATTCTAAAAGTAAGGAATGATATATGAATAATTGAATCCTTTACTAGATACCTTAACGAAAGCTTTAAATAAATCACTACATTCAAACAAAGCAGTCAAATAACCATAAATAAGATGGTAATAACTGTTAACGGCGAGAAAATCCGTATATTAACTGTTTTCACCTAAAACGGTTAAACAACCAAATTTTTATCGCACTAAGTAGACCCACCTAATGAAGCCAATTAGTTCCTTTTAGATGGGTACACACCTGTAGCCGAGAGGGCTAATATGTCAATCTCATGACCACAGAACGGGGGTTCGAGTCCCGACGTTGTCACCAAATTATTTCGGTCATTCCCTTCAACACATAGAGTCCAGTGTCTTTTGCTCCCCAATTTGTAACCCTGGGCTAATAGAATATGATACTCTCATTCACGCGTTGATGGCAGCCCTGTAAAGCTTCTAAACTATCTCCAATGTCCAGATAAATTTCTTTTATACAGTTTTAAAACCATGCTAGTTGTAAATGGTTAAGAAAGCGTATAATATTACATTCATGGTTTCTTAACCATACTACTTGTAAACGGTTTCAAAACAGTACAGGTAAAAACTGCTCTTTGCTGTAAAGTTTGAATTTAATTCGATGGACAGACTGCTGCCGGATATTTTACCATAATTTTGGAATGAAACTTTTTGGAACGCTATTGGTTTGGAACGAGCTGGATAATTTTTATCGAAACTCTTCAGTAATGATTTTGGCAAAATCAACAATAAAATATGATTTCATAATGTGTCATAAAATTTGCAAACATGCAAAATTTGGTAATTCGGGTAATCCTATCATGTTACCTTAGAGCATGGCACAACAAAATCATTTATTTGGTTATTTAAATTTCTGTTTTGCATATTTATCTAAATGTGTGGTGATAAGAACTATAATTTTGAATGCTAGAATTTCCAGTTAACCGTGACCATATGAATAAGAAAAAACTATCAAATAGATGGTTTAAAGGCCGCATAATTTTGTTTTGTTAACCAGAATTATGCTGTTTTTTTTACAGAAAAAGTCATTACAGTACCATTTCTGACTAATTTTTTTCATGTGAGAAACAGGATTTATTTATTATGAGCCAGCATTTTATCAAATGAAAAATAATGTGACCGTTTTTTTCTTGCTTTATGAAATTATACTTAGACAATTATAAATAAGATTTAATGCAATCTAAAATTAAATACAGTTGTCAGAAATTTACTATTCTTCCAAGACTTCTACTAGATCTTAAAAGTCGGAAAATAGTTGGTTATTTTTTAGCTATGCATAATCTTTGTTATATAATACTTTCATGTACACAGAATCATCTATTTTTTCTATATAATTTGTCTAATGCTATACTAGTGTTTTCGCTTACGTTTTGGGTAACTATGCTTTTAAATGTGGGGACGAATTTTTATACTTTCGCAACTCCTGACATATAATATTTTGCTCTTCAGTTGCTTACATATGCGTATTAATTAAAATAGAGTTAAGATATTTAATAAAAATAGGTCTAGGTAAAATGGATATAGGTAAAATAGGTCTATGCTTACAAGCTCTGATATTCTGTCTAAAAGATTTTGTACTTCTCTTCTTTTATTGTCAAGACTCAGCTGTGCCTGCAGAAGTGCTTCGTCTTTACGTAAAAGCTCATCAGATCTTTGGCTGTTAGATAATGAAGATGGTGGTGGTACTGTCTGTAAACAGAAATAGAAATAGCACTTCATGCAGAATAATAGAGTAACTCTACAACGTTGAAAGTTAAATGTAAATCAACATGTTTTTGAATAAAAATATCGATTAAATATATCATGACACTTCATGCTGCCTGTAAAGTAACACAGTATGTTTAATTGCATGTTAAATTGAAAATATTATTATGTGTTGAATAAATACATGTAGTAAAGTTTGGAATACAGCTGCAAGTTAAATGTAGATCAACATAATTTTGAATAAAAATGCTGGTTAAATGTAGATGTATGATGCTGGTAATGTAATGACATTGCAAGCCAAAATCGGTTCGCTTAGACGTTAAGTTGGAAATAATATTACATGTGGAATAACATAATATGGAATACCACTGAAGTTTAAATGTTGATCAACATAACTTTAACGTAATATAACATAGAATAACAATGCATGTTAAATGTAATATTAAATTTGTGACTATTTCTAGAATAAAACAAAATGTTCAATTACACGTTAAATTGAAAATATTATTACATGTTGAATGAATACACGTAACATAGTTTGGAATACCACTGCAGGTTAAATGTAGACCAACATAATTTTGAATAAAAATTTGGTTAAAATGTAGCATGGCATTGCAAGTCGCTACATGTTTTATGACACGTTAAGTTGAAAATAATATTACATGTAGACTGACATAATTTAGAAACCACTACATTTTAAATGTTGGTTAACATAATTTTGAAGAATAACAATACCGGTTAAATGTAGCATGACATTCCAAGTCATCTAAACAGTTGCGCTGTATGTTAAATTACATGTTAAATTGAAATTATTATTATAAATGGAATGATTATATCTGAAACAGCATAATTTAGAATACCACTTCAGGTTAAACGCATATCAACGCAATTTATCATATCAATGCAGGTAAAATGTAGCATAACATTCCAAGCGCACTGCTGAGTTTAACTGAAAATACTGTTGTTTGTTGAATTGAAAATATAATTATGGATTTATTGCTTGTTAAATACAAAAAAACAAAAAAAACATTGCATCTTACTAGAAATTTTAAGTGAATACATTTCATTAAAGAGATCCCTTATCAGAACAAGTTGGAAACAATTTTTCCACCTAATTTCTTATTAGGTGCCTTATTAATTGCGAGTACAATAATTATGCAGAGCGGAAGCTTTCAACTTTATTTAAAACAAACTGAAGAGATGCGAGACAGCAAAAATTTAGATAACAGATATATCCAGTCAAAATGTTGAATTAAAAAAAAAGTATTATATATTATATGGTGGTTTTCAAATAAAAAAAATCTGGTATTCTCATTCTTATTTAGAATTTTAAAGTATTGCAGTTGAGTTAAGAAATACACATTAAATATGCATGAATAACAAATTACGGTATACAGCGTAAGTAAATAACTGGAAAAAAACATCCTAAATATTTTAAAAATAGTTTAACTCACTGGATTAGTTAAAATTAACTTAGTTATACGGAAAAAAAATCCATTTTGCTGTACAGTGTGGAAAAAAAACCCGATTATTCCGAATAACTTTAGATTTAATGATCGGATATTCACGTTCTAGGACTCATTCTTAATGGTTCGAGGGAGGGATTTCAAATGTGCTATGTAATTAGTGCAGACGATATTTTAAGTTACGAAATCAGACACAAAAACGTACTTTCTCTGAATAAACATACCTTTTTCTTCGACTGATTCTTAATTTCGACTCCCAAAATATAGGGACAATAGAGAAATATGGTTCTCATAGCTTGGTCTGAAGAACGATCCAACAATTGAACCCTTGTTAATTTTACTTTATGTGTATTTTGCCATGTCTCGAGAACTTTAAACTCGCGAACTTGGGATGAGTTCCAAAATGCCCTCAGACCGAACTATTTGCACCTATTTCTCAAATTGCGATTACCTCTTATTTTAAGAAGGTCAAATATCCGAATCCATAAAAAAAAGATCTATTTAATCGGAGAAGATCCAATCATTGGGTCAAAAATTATTCAAAGCAATTCGTTTTTTGTCAAATTATTATTCACCTCGTAACAGAAAGTATATAAACAAATGATTTAGAAATAAAGTTTAATTTTAAAAGCTCGTTCAATTATTTGTGTTCAATATCATTTAGAATACGCTGACGAGAAACATTAGAAATACGTTTTTTATTGGAACTGAAAAAAAGAAAAGAAGGACATAAAATTAAATTAAACAATTTTGAAAGAGGGTTTAAATGTTTAAATTAAAGAGTTAAACGTTTAAATTGCAGTAAAATAAATCTTTCGAATGAACTAATTAGTAATCTTTCGAAAATGCTCCTCAATTTTAAAACGGTTTTTGAACAAATACAGCCATATGAATACTATTAAAATCCGAAATATTATGTGAAAAATTTTTCTAAATAAAGTTACCGCTTCTTGATTGTTAGATTTTACATAAAATAAAACATGAAAGATCTAAAAGTATCTAAAATTTTTATTATTATTTCTGGCTTTAGCAATACCTAGCATTAAGATCTGACTTTAAGATCCTGTGTTTAGCAAAATGAATTATTTATGGTACCAAATACATTTATTTTGCAACTAAACCATTTTTATTATAGTGAGCTTTAAAATAAATTTAAACTGTAAAAGGTAATTAAACTTTTGGATAATTAAACAAACAAGGGGGACCTTGCACTGTTAGAAATTTCTGGGAAAAAATGGTTCAATAACAATTTATTTAGTTGTTATTTTACTATATTCAGACAAAGCAGTCAAATAACAATAAATAAGATTGTATTCTAACTGTTAACAGTGAATAAAAACGTTTATTAACTGCTTTTATCTAATACGGTTAAACAACTGAATTTTATTGCACCAACTAGGCCCATCCTAATGAAGCCCTCAGATGGGTACATACTGTAGTCGAGAGGGCTAATTTGTCAATATCATGACCGACAGAACGGGAGTTCCTAGACAATAAAAATACAATACTCTCATAAAGCAGGTAAACAATCTGCAATCCCCATTTTAATATTTTTACAGTTTTGAGACCACGCTAGTTGTAAATGGTTAAAAAACAGTATAGTTCTGTACTCATGGTATTATAACCATACTTGCTGCAAACGGTTTCAAAATCGTAAAGGGAAAATAAATTTCTTTAGCGTAAATTTTTAAATTAATTTGATGGACAGATTATACGGAATGAAATATGTACAAATATAACAATAATTTAGAAATAAAAATTATAATCACCAGTTTCTTTGTCTGACATTCCTGTATTTTGCTTTCAGATTGCCTCAGTTTTTCTTTCAATGAAGTTATTTCTTCATTAAGACGTTTTATTTGGTCTTGCAACACACTATCCTATAAAAAATATATAAGGGTCAATCGATATAGCATAAAATTTGTTAATTATTATATTTAAAAAAATTTCTAGGAATGCATGGTTCGCTTTATGACTTGATACGATATTGAATACCTCATCAGCTGAAAATGCATTGTAATACATTGTCAGCTTAAAATGCCTAGTAATGGAAAAGAAAATTAAGCTATTCTGCTTAAAGCTTTTTAATTAGCAAGTTAAGACTGTTTTACAAATGCTCCGTTGTTGTATGAAATGATGCTTTCTTGCTATTTTCTTGACTGCTGTGAGTTCCCTGCTGTTACCCATGGCTGTTAGGACAAGTTTAATCTATCTAAAGCCAGCGCTGTCTATGTTTTTTCTAAAAATCGCGCAAAACCGTCAGTATGTTAAAAGCCAGAGTTTTGCGAAGATGAAAAGCGTTAGTTGACTATTTTTTATTATTTTAAAACATACTCCAATATTGCATTAGCTTGGCTCATTAAAAATTTGAGAATAAGGTAGTGAATTTGATAGTTTTAATCCACGTGAAAAAATGTCACCAAATTAGCGATATTTAACGCTGTTTTTCGAAACTCTTGTCGTCAAGGAAAATATTAAAAAAAAGCCATAGTTTAGATGTCTTACACTTGAAGCAATGCAATTATTTCGAATTGTATACATATATAACCTTGGATGGAGGAATTATCTGGGCTTCAGACAAGTAACTTAAATATTTTAAAAGTTATTAAACTATTATTAAAAATCGCAAATTTGGCGAAATTTTTCGACCCAGATGAAAATTATCAAAATGACCGCCTTATTCTGAGTTTTTACAGATTCCTATAAGCCAAAGTAATGCAGCATTGGAGTAAGTTTCTAAATATTAAGAAAATAGAACACAAACGTTCATCATTTTCACAAAACTGTGGTTGATTTTTCTATATATTGGCATTTTGCGCCATTTTCCAACCGACAGCGCTGGATTTAGATAGGGTAAACGTGGCCTAACAGTCATGAGTAACAGTTTCAAACTCACATCAATTATAAATACAGCATATTAGTATTTGCAAGAAAGCATCATTTCATATTACGACGGAGCCTTCGAAAGGCAGCCTTAAGTTGTTTCTCCATCCTAAAAAGCAGATAGTTCAATGGCATGCTGATATATATGGTGTAAAATACCATCGCTTTGCTTCTAGTGTAAGGCTTTGAAAAACCTTGTTAAGTTATACTGTTATCTTAAATTGTATATAGTATTCTTAATGCACCAAAGATATTATTTCTGACAAAGGCTTTTCTGCATTTCGACATGTAAAAGGCACCCTACAGTTTGTAAAAATCAATTAAAAATGGAGCCTTTACACATTCAAGAAAGTCACAGTTTGCGTTGATACAGCAGTGCTTAAAAAATAACTATACAATTTTACTCTGTTAGAGATTTCAGTTTCTTATAGCTCTTCTAATTTTCTTAAAACTTTTTAAAGGAATTTGAGTGATTGAATCTTAAAATAAATGTTTATTTAAAAAATAATTCGAATATAAAATTACATGTGAGTAATGTACTCACACACGGTGAAAAAAAAATTCTGATAAAATTTGCCTGCTGTATACTAANCTCACAATGCATCATTATTATCCCACCATCAAACAAAAACAGGTGTCTAAATTCAGTTTTACCCAACAAAATAAAAGATGTAACCATGCTCTTATTGTGTAAAACTAAAGCGTGGGAGCTAATACATGTAGAAAAAGCGTTGTTCTTTTAAGTGATTCGATTTACATAAATGAGCTGGCAAATATTCTTACAGGAGTGGCACCTTCTGATATCATCTCATTTTTACGCATTTCCTGATCCAATCTTCTCTCCAGATTCTCAATCCTCCTCTTCTCCTTCTCTCTCTCAGACTGTTAAAAAAATGTATGCAATCTCAATTAAAATATTCTCTTCATGCAGATAAATAGTGATCATAATGACTGATAATGGAATTAATTAAAATTTGATGAACGGGTAATTTATTTTATATCCTGCATCACAGCTAAAAGTAGCTTGCTGGCTAGAATATTAAGTTGAGGAATTATAATCAATGATATAGATAAGCAATAAAAATTAAATTATTTATGAAATCTAATGGTCACTCTTTCTGAGAAATCGGTTCAATCATGAAACATGATCTAGGTGTCTTCGTGGTATTACACAGTGTATGTGCACCGTAAAAAAGAGCTGTAAATTCTACAGAAAAAAAGTTGATCAAAGATAAATACATATTTTTTTTCTGTTTTTAATCGTTAGCCAGGCGATGCAAAAAAAAATCGTGTTTTTTTTTTAAATTTTTTTTTACGGATTTTCTTTGTATATCTAATGGTTTAAAGCTTTTTCTCACAAAACAGTATTTCTCTGCTTTTTGCCATAACTATAAACTGATTAAAACTGTTAATTATTTTCTAGTTCATTCCACTAAATTTTGCTTAACGTAAGATAACTTTTTTTAAAAATCATTTTAAGATTATTTTCTTGACTTGTTCTTACTTTTTAAAAGTTATTTATGGATTTGAACATCGAATAAGTAAAATTACTATTCGACTTTATTGTCAAACTAATACTCACCTGATTATTATCTGTTTTTAGATATACTTTTTCGGTATGTTAAATTTCCAGACATTTTTATAATGTTGGGTCAATATAGTTTTACACGTTTTTGTGCTGAAATAAAATTTAAATAAGTAAGACATTAAAGCTAAGGACGTTGAAATTTTTTTTTCATAACTACGCACCAAATCTGCCGTGGTACAATGGACAGAGCGCTCGCCTCCCATTAAGGTGAGCTGCGTTCGAATTGACTGGTCACGTGAATTCTGCTCTCGGCTTGCATCAACCACAACGCTGACATAATTCGTTTATGGAGTTTATATTGTTAACCAGTATTTTTGGTAAACCTTTACCACAAAAATAGAAAAATTAAGAAATAAATGGCTTAAATACCGCATGTTTTAGTTTAATTACCAAAATTCTGTTTTTTTTTACCAGAAATATTATTATAAAAAATTACGGTAAATGTATCAGAATTTTTTACTACGTGCAGCTACTTATAAAATAACTGACGAATAATATTATACGTAAAATCTTTAAGGTATCTGACTATGCAAAAACATGACTTTGGGCAAACCTTCAAAATTGAGTTTATTATAAATTTGGAATCCCTGTACTTTTGAATATTTTACTTTTGTTTCTATTCCAATTATTTACAAAGTTATAGCAGTTTTTGTGCAAGGTGATAACAGAGGATAGACTAATGATTTTAATTCTTTAAATGTTTTTATCGCAAAATCTTTTTATTCCATTTTACACCACCTTAAACACTATATCTCATGTTGTTTTCAAAATAATTATCCAAAATTTTTCATGAGCATTTATGATTACAGCACGCGTGTTTTAAACTACAGACTAAGAGAAAAAAAAGTAGAATTTCATTATTTATGCATGTTTTTTCGCTTAGACAATGCGAAAATTTCTAAAATTTGCTTTTTTAAATACATTGATCCCTAACTCAGAAGCATATGCACTTGCTTTTAAAATCATAATATATTTTATTTCATAACGGTCGTTGAACAGCCGACCCAACATTGGGTGTAAGCCTACTAATGTTCAACTCCGTAGCCTTGTAATTTTTAGCTTATCCAGAAGACAAGGAAACGCCTGGATCAGTACACCCTGAGGTATCATTTGTTATGGGAATATGGAGGACTTTGTGACTCGGCAGATTTAACATGCATCAGTCACCATTTACACGGGGAGTCTTCGGCAGGCTGGGATCCAACCCATGATCTCTTGGATATGGGTCCATTGCCTTACGAACCAGGCTATCAAGGCCTCTTTTAAGATTATAGTTCAAAACATAGTTGATAGTCTTCTTAATAAAATCCTCAATGTATATTCGGTTTTAGGCGATATAATTTTTTTTACTGTGCTTAGCATATATAGAAAGATGTCTTATTTTTTTAATCTAAAAATGGAATTTAAAAAATAACAATAATAATAATTTTTTATACTAGTTTTACACAGTTACTAGTTTTTACACATAATAAAACAAACTAGTTTCTTTTTTAAATTTTAAATTAATACTTTCAAACAAATAGCTGTCGAAACTAGTTAAATACCTTAAATAAAAAAAAAACAAATATAATTTTTATTTAAATGAAACCAATTCCTTAATAAAATTGAAATCATTGTAAAAATTTAAAAAAAAGAAACTCATTTACCTCAATATCATCCTTTCCTATGCATTCCTCTTCTATTCTAAATTCGAGCTCTTCGACTTTTCTGGAAAAAATATTATTTATGATTTCAAAATTATTAAATTCAATGAAAGGGGAGGAATTTTTATAACATTTCACTTTTATAAAAATACAGACAAAATTTTGCTGAATCAAAACATCATGGTATTTTTTTTCTTTAAAAGATAGAAAAATAAATGAATTACTATAAATTTCTATTAAAAGATTAGAGATTCATTTATTTATTTCACTTTGCATTAATCTTTTTTTTTAAACGAACGTAAGTTAAAATTCATAAAAGAATTTAAAAACAACACGGAAATGTTTATTTGAAACTTTTAAAAATATTATTTTAAGACTTCAGTACTATTGTCTTTTACATTCAGAGAAATATAACACGAATACTGCTGTAATTTGTAACATTCAGAACTGAACGAATTATTTCAGACACAAACGTGCTTTTTCTGCTCGGTTGTTCTTGTATTCAAAGGCTATAATTACATAATTGCTATTTTTTTATGATTCAGACAGGTGTTCCAAAGCAACAAAACATACCTTACATTGATAACTTAGCATTTTTTTTATTCCCGTAACTACTTGATTAATGAGAAACATACCATTATTGTATTATAATTATTTTTGATTATACATTTGTAAGAAAATTATTGACCGTAATATCATTAAAATACATTAGCGTCAGATACCTCATAAATAACGTTTATAAAGTTTATTTTTCAAAGTTGAAACAAAAGTAATTAAGTTTATCCACACATTATAAATGAGTTATTAGGCAACATAAAAGTAGAATTAATAAAAAATTATTTATTTTCCAGTCATGTTCATACGCATATTATCTAATAATGCAAAAGATCGCTAATTATAATAAATTGAGACTAATATTAGCTTAAGTCTTTAGAGAGTACATAAAATAGGTTCAAAAAATAAGTTGATGAAATAGGTAGCAAAAGTTTCTAACATTTAATTTTTATTTGGGTGCTAAAAAATATATACATGAGAAATTAGATTCCCTCTGAAGATTCCAGATAGAAAAATTTGCATTTCTGCTTCACTTGTCTAAAATTTTCAATAAATTCATTTGTATTTTACGCAACCTGATCTAACTTTTGCTCTAACGTTTTAGTTTTAGAAAACATTACTGTTAGAAAGGTTTCTTTTTATAACTGTCGTTGAACAGCCGATCCAATTTTTGGGTTTACGACTACTAATGCTCAACTCCGTTGCCTTGTAATTTTGAACCCGATCCAGAAGACAAAGGAATTCTTGGATCAAGTATTGGGAGAAATGTTGCCTTCGTGGAGGACTTTTCGGTAGAGGATGAAACTAACCTGCACTTGCGTTACATGGAGAGGAAGACCCATTAACCTCCACGGTTAGCATAACCACAAAGGGACTCTAACCCATAATCCGTCTACCACTGAAGATATTTCGCGTCAGCACTGCAAGCCGAATGCGTATTCGTTTCGACTAGCCACCGCTGGGATTCAAACCCGGTTCATCTCCTTGGAAGGCGAACGTTCTATCCATTGCGGCTCAAAAAAAAAAAAAAAGATTTTCTCAAAATTGAGCGAAACTGTCTCAAAATAGCACCAAAACAAATATACCTGAATTTGAATCCTGTATTGAAAATTGAAAAAGAATAAACTCATTTTTGAGCAAACTGCAGGCGGAGGTAGAAATGTTTGAGAGAGATGTGTGTTTGCTGCGGGCAGGATTCGAACTAAGAACCTTAGTGTTTGTACTAAGATGCTCTAACCAGGAAAGATGTACGTCCAAGTTTAGATTGAGTTAGGAAGCTTTATATAGTGGCTGTCGTAATGACACACCATGTTATACTAATTCATAATTTCAAAGGATTGCAATTTGGAAAATATGGAGCTAGTAGCTTTGTCAGGAGAAAGGCAATTTTAATTTCACCTTTTTCTTATTTCACTCTATCTTAAAAACTTGATGTGTCATGGCGGTGGTTATTTTATAAAACTTCCTAACTTACCCTGGACTTAAATGTACAACTATGGTGGTTTGAGCGTCCTACTACGAGCCCCAAGTTCCTTGGTTCCTTTTGTTTTGCTAACTTTTAAAAAATTTATTACTCAATACAATAAAACAACGCATTTTTATTAACATTTCTTGCCAAATAGCATAATAAAAATAATTTTAAAAATAAAACAGAATTTTTTTTTGAAAATACTATTTCTTGTTAAAAAAAATCAATTAAAAATTTTGATTTATAAGAAAATTGAAGAAATTATTTCTTAATTTGATTTTGTTTAAAAAAATGTTTCTTGATATTTTGCTTTAAATATTACATTGATGTACATTATATACCTTTAAAAAAGTTTTAATTTTAAATATTAAATAAGAAATAGTTTACTAGAATTTTTAAAAAAAATAATAAATAAAGCATTAATAAAATTTGAAAAAATAAATTTGAATCAAGAAAGAACAATTCGCTTAGATACATTTAAATATTTGTTTTTGTTTAAAAAATATTTCTTGGCATTTTAGTTAAAATATTACATTAATGTATATTATATATCTTTAAAAAATTATTGAATTTTTAATATAGAAAAAAAATAATTTAACAGAATTTTTTAAAAAAGATAACTTTAAAAAGTTAATAAAATTTGATGAAATAAATATGAATTAAAAAAGAGCAATTCGTTTAATTATAATTCGGTTTCTATGCAACATCTATGAATCTGAATGTAATATTTCTGGGTAAATATTATTGTCTTTCAAACCATAGTTTCTTTTAAGGTAAAATTTATCTCGGTTTCATTATGTGAAAATGAAAAATGGCAATTTCGAGACTAATGTCATATAATAACCTGCGTTCTTCTTCCAATTTTGTTGCCAAATCTCTTCTTTCTGCTTCTGCTGCTTCTAGAAGTTGTCGTAATCTCTGAGCTCTCTTTTCGCTTTCTTCTGAATATTTTCTGTTTTCATCCTGTTTCAAGAGAATGCTGACATTTAAATCAAAGCTAATTGTTAATTACTATCAATTATGATAATTTGAAACATGCATTAAGATAAAATGATATTCTGATAATACTATAATGGAAGAACAGTAGGACCCACTTATGACGATCCTGTTACAGTTACAGTTTCAGCAAAATGGAGTAATTTGTTCGATAGAGGGTTATAATTATTTTCATGTTATTTTAATATAATTATGTTACATGATTATGTTATGCATTTTTTTTCTCATGACTTTAACAAGGGTAAGAATGTCACAAATAAAGGAGGGAAATTATCAAGTTTGAAAGGTAAGTAAATTTAATTATTCGAGAGAAGAAAGTTTACAACAAAGATATATACATGTAACTACGAAAATTAAATAGTGCTTTGAAGCTTGAAAAACTAAATTTTATTTTGAAAATGCATCAAGTGTTTTACAGTAAAAATTAAATAAAGCAAAATTTTGTAAATTAAAGTTGAATTAATATATTTTTACTTGTAATAAAGGTATTCTGGAAGCAATCAATGTAAGTTTTTATTTCATACTTTTATGCAGTGCTTGACGTTGTTGAAATCTTTGTTGTTGTTGTTGCAGTTCATATACGCAACACAATGCTAGAGCTACACAATGGGCTATTGGCGACGATCTGAGGGGTATCCTTGAGGTCGATCCGAAGACCTGCTATCACAATTTTGATTCTTTGTAGAGGGGATGATAACTCCGCTTTGGTAGCCCGACAACATGCGCGCGAAGTTGAGCACTTTACGGTAGAACAGTTTAAGAAGGGCCAAGAGCACACATCTTCGAACCCTTCACAGACTGATCCAAGTAGTTACCCACCCGCACACTGACCATGTCTTAATTATCAGCTCAATGCGTTGATTGGCTCAAATAGAATTCAGATTTAGCGAATGACTAGATTTAAGAAACAGTTTCTATTTGCCAAGCTTTTCGTTATATATGGTTTCTATTATATTTGGTCATATATTTGTTCCTTACAGAATAAAATTATCAAAATACACTATTGAATGAAACTTATAAGAGAAATTATCTATTATGTATTAGATATAAACTTATATTTTGCGACATTTTTCTTCGAACTTTAAACAGTAAGGTGCATTTATTTTTGTCATAAATGAACGGAGTTGAATGGAAATGATACAATAGTTTTGACGAAGATTTATTATATTTGTTTAAAAAAAATTTTATAACTACTATAGTACTTGCAATATTGATTTTCTAATAGATAAGCATCTTGTTTTTTCTTTCATGCTCTCATACAAATTTGTTTCGTCATTCTCAGCACGTATGTACAATGCTTCGCATACCTTCTTTATAAGTTTCAAATTACATCTTAAGGAAAAAAAAAATATCAAAATAATATCCATTAATCGTGTCAAAAATTCTTATCTCTCGTTAAGATATTAATTTACTCTAACAGAAAAAGCTAAAATACATAAGTGAAAGAAATGAATTATCATACCTAGTACAGGAATATCACGTTTCTCTTTACGAAGAAATTTATTTTCATGATTTGATTTTATTAGTGTCAGTTAAAATTGCATGGGTCAATGATTTTGCAGTGATATTTTTTAAACCTGGGGCATATACGGAACGTGAAAAAATTCAATCACTGTACACTGTAAGAAATCGGGGACAGTTTCATGATTGAATGTTAATGTGAAGAGAAAAGTGGTATTTATAATTAAAAAATTTCAATCAGAAACCGTCTCTTTTAGTTTCTTACTACAGTAAAACAATGTAATTCTGAAGAACTACATGATCATTTAATAAAATAATGAAAAAAACGGTTTGCATCAATTATTGGCTAAATATGTTATCAACAGAGTGAATAAAACTATAAATGAATGATTTACCAAATAAATTTATAAAATGAATGGGGGTATATATCAAAAATAATGAGTAAAAGTGAAAAGAATTAAATAATTAAAGAAGAAACAATTGAATAATTGGTGAAGGAATAAACAATTAAAAGTAAACTGAAAAATTTATGCTGCGAAGAAAAAATTGCTGGAATGAACGAATGAGTTAATAAATTCACTGAATAAAAGTTAAATTAATAAAAGAATGACTGAAAAAGTTAAGCAAATAATTATTAGGGGGACCGGAAAGTAATGTCATTTCAGCACATTAAATATTCGTTAGTTTTGAAAACCAATTCATTTTTTTTCGATCCATTTCAATTCATTTTCGATCTGGCATTGAAAGGTTGTTGCTAACGAGGGTGAATACGTTATTGATTAAAAATAAAATCTTGATTACAAATATCAAATGCACCGAAACGACATTACTTTCCGGTCCACCTTATACATAAGAATTTCTTAAACTAAATAATGTGTTATATGACTAATGGACATTAACACTAATCAAGAAATAAAACAATTTCAGTTCATGTTAGAGAACCATAAATCTATAACCCATTGTTTTATGATAATGCAGAAATTTATGTCATAAAATTAAACAAAATTATGACATCCAGCTACACTTAAACTTACAAAAGAATTACCTTTAATTAAATTTAAAAAATAAAAAATTCAATATTGCTTAAAATACTATTCTAAACAAATAGTTATCAAAAAACAATAAAATAAATACTTAATGTTTATGCATTTTATAAATTTAGCAAAAGTCAGACCTTTGTCCCTTATCTTGCTTATGATAGAGATAAAAACACAACTTAGAGTAAACAAATGAGTTTTTGTTTATCTTTAAATGACTAATTTATTAAATTACATATTCAGTATCATTTAAAATATATTAAATTAATAAACGACAAATAATGTCATTTAAATTTTAAAAAAAATATTTACAAAGCTTTCACTGGTTTACATATCTACAAACTAATCTAAAAATAATTTCTCGTTTTAAATAAATTATTCTCGTTTTAAATAATGTCAAATTTATTCTTCCTGTTATAATTCAGTTAAAAAAATTTATATACATACCTGGAGGTTAATGGTTGATGAATTTTTACTTGAGTTGCTCTTTTCTGAACCCTACAAAAGGAAAAAGGATAAAAGTTACAGCGTGTCTATTCCTTGATTACACTGACATCTCTCAAAAACTTAAAGCAAGAAAACAGTTATGGTTATTAAAAAAGTCTAGCTGCAAAATCATTTGAAAAAAATTTTTCTCCCGGAGTTTTCGAACTTAGTTCAAAACTTTTCCAACAGATGCTGATAGAACGTCCATGTGGCAGTATTTTTCTTTAGGTTTTGACGCCATTCATTGACTTCAAGTTGTGATTGAAATCAGACATTTCGGGAAGATGATTTCATTCATAGAAAAATTTTATGAGATTTCTAGGTATCCTGCCTAGTTTACCAAATTATTGTTTGTCGTGCCATATATTGCAAGGATTTTGTGCTAAAATAGAAGCATTGTTAAGAAAAAAATGTATGCCCTGACACATGAATTTGCTTCAAGAGTTGTTACTTAAACCTTCACCGTTTTCCAGCTATAAAATTTTAAAAATCTCCATTTCAACAATTAAAAGAAAGCAATTATAAATGTAGCAAAAAAGTCTTTTCATAAATCGGTAAGTATATATTTTTAATTGTAAATACAAGTAATAACAATAATATATTCAAAGTCAAATGCTCAAATAAAGCAGCATTATAAATTTTACTTTTAAGCTATTCTAATACATTTATGCATAGCAGAAAAAAAATTACTTAGAAATTTTAACTGTTTTTGCATGTGTAAAAAATATATGTATCCAAACTCCATTTGCAAACAAAAATTTTAAAGAAACGTCAATTGGGCTAAATTCACAAACTTTTATTTGAACTTAAATGCTAAACTCCTTTTTTATTGTAGAATTCTATTTATGCTCTTAAATTTCACATTAATTTTAGAAAATCACAATACCTAAAAACTTAACTTACTTCCTTTTTAATGTAGGGTTCTATTCATATACGACTTTATTAATTGTTATTTTTCAATGATTTATTAAAACAAATCAGTTCAAGATGTGATTGTACAAGTTGCGGATAAAGTTAAAACTGCTCATATCATTTCATTAAAAGGATGAAAATGTAGCATGAACTACTAACTTAATCAACTCGAACGCAGCAGAATGCGAACAGATATTATTATTACTTCTTATATCCATAAGAAAGGTGAATGTAATAAACATTTCAAACATTTTTAATAGATTTATATTTTAACCTCTACAAAAATCTTGATCCACACATGAAATTGTATCTTTCTTTTCTTTTATAATATTTAATTTTAGATTGTGTACTTCATAAATAAACTAATCTGATTTTTTTTGGCGCATTCATCACATCAAGTACACAGTTCGGAAAAATTCTATTACGCTATTATTTTAAAATTTAAAAAAGTTTAGTATTGTTAAAATTTCCTTTGAGTTAAACGAACTAAAATAGATAGCTCCCTAAGCTTCGTTTAGTGAAAATATTTTTAATACTACCCACAGCAAAAAAATATGGTCAAAGCTGTAAAAATATTACATAATTTACAGCGTTTTTAGCTCCACGGAAACATCAAAAAGCTTGGTAGTTTTTAGTTGGTAATTAACGCTTTGGTAATGATTTTCTAAAATTAGCAAATAAAATATGTTTTTATAATACGTGAGAAAATCTGGTAAATGTTGAAAAATTTGGTAATTTTGATCATGATACCTTAGAGCATGTGGCATAATAACAATTTATTTAGTTAAATTTATTTTCAGGTTTGATTTCTTACTTAATATGTAGTAATAAAATCTATAATTTTGAAAACTAGAATTTCTTATTATTCTATGCAAAGTAGTAATTTTACCAGGATTTTTTCTCCGTCTATATGTATTTATATTTTCTATGAATTGAATTACGAAATTTTCAAAATTATTTTAATCTTTTTTTTACAATTTCTTTTATTTTATGCTACCATTTTGAACTGAAAATATTATTACTAAAATATCATTTATCTTCAATAATGTCACGTGTTATAAATTATTCGGAGAAATATTAATTGTTTTTGCGACGTATTTAGATTAAAGTGTGGATATGTCACATTGTTTTATTCCTTGACAGGTTGATTATGACGTGAGATTACGGCGTACTTCAAAGTTTGGAATGATATCATTAAACGCGTTTTTATCGAATATTCTACATTTTCTTCCTTATTTCTATGTTATTATTTGGTATTTGATACTTAAAAATTTTATTGCCATACGATAAATTGCCTCATGAAATATTTGTGCATAGGTATCCAAATAAAAGAAAAACCAGATTATAAAAAAAAATAAGTAAAATATTTTATTTATCATTGCACATGATCTCTAAAAAAAAGGCACAATTTTTGAGCAATTGAATAACAATGCAATGCTTATATATTCATGGCTGAAAAAGTAAGGGAAATTGAAGAGAAAAGAAAAAAGGTTAAAATGTAGTTTTATTTAAATTGGTCAATCAATGATAAGTTTCATTGTATGATAGCTGCTCACTGCCAAAAAAGCATATATATAGCATATTTAAAAAATTACCAAATTTTACCACCTGTGTATATAAATAATTTCAGTAGTAAAAACAAAAGTATATGGTATTTAAACTTTCCATTTGGTGATTGTTTGGCTCACATGGTAACGGTTCATATCTTCCCGTTTTCAATATTATAGTTCTTATTACCACACATTTAGTAAATAATACGAAACTGAGAAGTGACTTTAACAGAATAAATGTTTTTCATGCCGTGCTCTAAGGTATCATGAAAAAATTACCAAATTTTATCACTTTTAGCAAATTTTTTCTTATATTATAAAACCATATTTTTTTGTTAATTTTGTCAGAATTAAAGCCAAAGCGCTTTGGTAAAATTTACCGATCTTTCAGGTGTTCCTATAGAGCAAGAAACGCACTAACTTTCACCATATTATGGCAGATTTGACCATGCTTTTTTTCTCAATTCTCCACCAACACATATAATTTTATATATGTTTTTCACTTTTTCTTTCCTAAACTTTAAGCAAAAATTTTATTCCACACAATGAAAAATTTTATGATATCTATTCATTTTTCTGTTATAATTCCTTTTTATATTTGATATTATGTCTACATCGCGTGTTCAGAAACTTGTACGATTCACATATTTAAAACGTGCTTGGAAATTTTCATTGCAGCAAAAGTCACTACACTTAAACACTAATGAACACAATTTAAAGTTGAAATTCCTACGGGTTCCTATGAATATCCTTATAACAGTCAAACGTAATTCAGACCTTTCAGATATTTGACATAGTTAAGTTTAGTTAAAATTACAATCGATGTAAATATAAATATTTTGCAAATAGATGTTACGATTATATGATTAAAAAGTTTTGCCTTTTATGAAATTATAGCGAAAAAATGTGATTTTTTTTCATCAAATAGGATTTAAGTTTTTACGTGGTTGAAAAAGAGCACCAGTATAGTGCACAAAATAAAAAAACGAACCACTCTGAAAAACTTTTGAACTAATGATCGGATCTTTATGTTCTAGGACTCGATCTTAATAATTAGAGAGAATGAATTCAAATGTGTTAATTAATTAGTACAGACGATGTTTTGAGTTACAAAATCAAAAACAAAAAAGTTCTTTCCCTGAGTAAAGAAACCATTTCCTTTCGATGGATTCAAATTTCTAACCCCCAAAATATAGTTGGTAGCAGCAATTTGGAAAATATGGTCTTAATAGTTTGTTCAGGAGAGCGATACAAAGTATTAGACACCTAAATGTTAATTTTATTTTTTGTATATTTTGTCATATCTTAAGAAATTTTTAAACGAATTGACAAATTTTTTCACTCAATTATAAAATTCATTTTTCCAAAGATAATTCCATGCTAAAAATAGCTTTTAGTAAATATTCATAAATTTTTATTTTTTTATTTAACATTAGTCGAAATTTTAATGCACTCAATGAACATTTTAATGCACTCAAATTTTTACATTATTTTAAAGAATATAATTTTACATGGCAATATACAAACTTTGAGTGAAATCAGTCGACTAGATCTTGAGAAATCAAATTACAAAAAAGTAAATTTTAAAATTTCGATTTCTGAGTAAATATTCTACCGATTTCACACAAAATTTGTATTTCTCCATGGAATGTTATATTCTTTGAAATCATGCAAAAAATTTTAAGCATTAAAATAAATGCAGAATTTTTTCTTCTAATATTAAATAAAATAATAAAAAATGATGAGTATCTACTAAAACTTATTTTTTGCATCCTTGGAAAAATGAATTTTACAAGTGTGCGTAAAGCTTTTTCAATTGCTTAAAAAGTTCCTCGAGATTATAATATTTTACAAAAAATAAACTTAGCATTAAGGTGTCCAAACTTTGGATCTCTCTTCTGATCAAATTATTCGGATGCTATTTCCCCTATTGCGACTACCCCCTATATTTTAGGAGTTAGGAATCCAAATCCATCAAAAAAATCTTATATTTATTCAGGCAAAGTAGGTTTTCATGCCTGATTTCGTTGCTTAAAATATAGCAGCAATTAATTAGCATACTTGAAGTTTTCCTTAAGAATCATTAAGAATGAGCTCTAGAAAGTGAAGATACGATCATTAGATGATTTGGTATTATATGTTTTATCACACTTAGTTCCACTTATATATTTTTTCTTGAGTGATTTCGATTACAGTATGCTATTTTTCCCGGTGGTGCCGGTTGAAATTCAATTGTGATTAAAAAAAATAATTTATTGAAAGGACAAATTTAAAAAATAGCATGCACTTTTGTCTTTGAAAATTATTTGCAGCGCACAATGCTTCCTTGAAAATTATAATTTAAAAACTCAACATAAAATATTGTCTTTCATTAAAACCGATCATGAAGTTGAAATTAAATGGCTTATTCGAAGTTAAATTTATTAAGTGCCACCAAATGTCCTTTTCTTTCTAAGTAATGGGATTTAAGTATTGTTTTTCGGACGATAAGAAAAATGAATCAGAAAATGCAAATAACGTTCAATAAAAAATTTAATTCCTAGTTAAAAT